ACGACGGAAGAGCTGGGGACGACGGCACGCCAGGAAGCAAAGCTGTTGTTCAAGTACAGTGTTCCGCTCATGGGAACGTATCTACTGCAGTACTCGTTTAGTTTAGTGACTATCTTTGTTGTTGGACATAGTAAGTGCTTAGCATAAAAGCCCCCGAGCCATCAACTGACTCGCATCTAATACAGTTGGGACGGATGAGCTTGGAGCTGTCTCTCTCGCTACCATGACCGCCAACATCACTGGACTAGCCGTCTATGAAGGCCTAGCCACATCTCTGGATACTCTCTGCGCGCAGGCCTACGGATCCGGCAAGAAGACCATGGTCGGTCTCCACCTCCAACGAATGATCTTGTTCATGCTCGCTGTCACCCTTCCCATTGGCGCCATCTGGCTATGTTCAGGCTGGATCCTCGCAGCTCTCGTTCCAGAAAAGGAACTAGCTCACCTTGCTGGCTACTACCTCTCATTGCTGCTGGCTGGTGCACCTGGATATGCAATTTTTGAAGCCGGCAAGAGATTCACACAAGCCCAAGGACTCTTCAATGCTTCGCTCTTCGTGCTGCTCATCGCGACGCCAGTCAACATTGCCTTGAACTATGTCTTTGTATTCATCTTGAATTGGAATCTTACTGGCGCCGCACTTGCAACCGTTGTTTCTAACAACCTTTTGCCAGTGCTCCTCTTCATCTATGTCTACTTTGTGAACCCCGCATCGCTAGAGTGTTGGGGCGGCTTCACGAAAGCTGCATTCACAAACTGGGGACCAATGGCTAAGTTGGCAGTGCCGGGTATTATCATGGTGGAAACAGAGTGGCTTGCATTCGTATGTCGCTCATTTACAAAACTTTATATTCAATATGCTAATCTCCCCAGGACATTCTCACTTTTTCGACGAGTTATCTTTCCACGGCTCATCTAGCCGCCCAATCAATGTAAGATCTCACTCCCTTTTCAAATTCTTCTGATCGATACTAATTCAATATTTGCAGCGTCATGACCCTCGCTGTAGCTATCTACCACGTACCTTTTAGCGTTGGTGTCGCAGTCTCAACCCGCTTGGGCAATCTCATCGGTGCAGGCTCTCTCTCTGCAGCCCGGACTGCCACCAAAACCTACGTTGCAACCTTTCTCGCAATCGGGCTCATCGATTTTACTTTCCTTACAGCATTCCGCAACATCTTGCCCCGCGCCTTCAGTAGCGATCCTGAAGTCGTGAGCATTGTTGCTACCGTGCTACCTCTACTCGCTACCTTCCAGTTCGCAGACTCGACCACTGCAATGGTTAATGCGCTGCTACGTGGATTGGGCAAGCAGAGTATTGGTGGTATGTGCAACTTGTTCGTTTACTACATCATTGCTGTACCATTGGCCCTGTTCCTATGCTTCCCACGGGATTTGAAACTGGTAGGGCTCTGGACTGGATGTGCTGTGGGTAGTTCATGCATTACTATCTCAGAGGGCATCTATATGAAGTTCTATGATTGGAGGAAGGCGGTCGAGGATGCCAAGGAGCGACAGGAGTAGGTGAATAACTCCATTTGATATGGTGGAGTCTTGGTGGGTAAAAAAGAAAGAGGAATGAGGAGACATAATGGAGGGTAAAATGCGTAATATCAATCAAAAACAAAGAATTCTTGAGCGTATATTTCTTCTTCTAAGCCTTTCTTATTCAAAATCAAATTGTCTAGATGCGAGTGTGTGCGTCTACAATTGGCTCTCGCCCTTTGGCAGCGCCAATTTCTTTACCTCTGGATCCTTGGTAACCTCATCATAATCCGGTCTAGGCAGCTCAAACGCCTGTGTCGTGCGCCCATACGTAATACCACCCAATCTAGAAATGGGCTTGAGAACCTGAACAAAGCAATAGATTAGCTCATTTCAGACACGACAGCAAGCCCACACGAGCATTACTCAAGCATTAAAACTTACAGCAGGATCGATAAGCACACCCTGCTCATCAATCGCATCTTCCCTCGCCCAAAAGTTGACACCCTCAATAAACACTGTAACGCCCGTCTTTTTGCCCGGCGTATCAGGATTCTTACTCGTCCACTCCACACTATCCACCAGCTTCGCCTCAATACTAAACACAGCCTCCTTGACGCGATCCGGTCTCACAATCTTGCTCTTTTCAGGATGTAGTCCGCTAAACGCCCACTCGCTAATTCCCGGCGGCGCATTAATACTCGTGAAATTCGCAGCCTCAGCGTAATGCTCTGAGATGATATTGACGGTAGCTTCCTTGGTGTCGAGCAGATTCTTGAGCGTGTCCTTGGCTTTGTCCATACCGCCTGCAAAGCCGAGGACGAACATGGGTGGATCGTGGTTGACGAGGTTGAAGTAGCTAAATGGTGCGAGGTTGGTTGATTGGCCATCTGCGCTGATGGTTGAGACGAAGCCAATGGGGCGTGGCACAATGGCTGAAATGAGGAGCTTGTAGTTGTGGACTACGGGGCGGCCTTGCTCGTAGGGTGCGATGGAGCGGTGCGATTTTCCTTGGTTAGAGGCATCGTTGGGGCCGCTGCCGGGCGTCCAGTCTGGCTTGGGTGTTTGCGTGTAGTGGAAAGAGGATGTCTTGTCAAAGGGGGGACGCGAGGCCTCGACTGCTTTGAAGTCTCCGTGTGGGTTGCGTTTTATTTCCTTTTCGGCGTCTGCGCATCCAGTGGCCATGGTGGGGGATTGATGAGTTATTTTGTGGTATTCTCTTTTTGCGAAGCAGAGATAGGGATGTTGATGCTCAATGCGAGTTGACAAAGTCAAGGTCGGTTGCCGTCTTATGGCCAAGATTGCCTTTTTCATCGATGTATATGACGCCAATGAGGGAAAAAATTATGTCTACTAAGTGATGATCAAGCGGCTACAGCGTGTTGGAGACACGGCAAATAGCGGATGAATATTTAGCCCGGGGGTCGGCAGAAAAATCAAAGGCAGCCGCGGAATGCCGCCCGAGAAAGGCCACTGCATCGCTCCTTCAGACGGTTATTCAAGCATGAGTATCTTGTGAGAAAACCTCTCAATATCACTGCCGCTTCTTAAAGCGTTTGGTACAATGACATTGTCTGAACGGCTATACACGGGACATGTTCTCCAAAGACGGCGCCGAAGGGTTGTCAACGTCATGTACTACCCCGCTATGCATCTGAGCTACCCCGCTACGAATGATAACAGCGCCAATACTTGGTGGAAGGTCAGCTTACCCAAGGTTACTAGTTGAAAGCGCTATGATAGACGACTAATCTCAGTTCCTGCTGCCCATTGAACATCTGATGCTTCAAATGCTTTCTCCACTATCTCTGTCCGCGATTTGTAAAGTTTGAAACTGAATTCAACATGTCCTCAGATGAAGACTACCAAACTTACAATCTAGGCAACTTCAAGCTCAAATCTGGAGGTGAAATACCAGATGCTTTCATCGCATACAAGACACTAGGTGACCCTTCGCTACCAGCCGTCATCTATCCAACATGGTATTCTGGAAGTAAGCACTGCACACTAAACCGTGATGCTGCAATTGCTTATCGATTTACACAGCGATATCCGACAATGTCTGGCTCACTGGCGCAAGCAAAACACTTGACCCATCTAAGTACTACATTATCATGCCTGCTCTCTTTGGCAATGGCCAATCCTCCTCACCATCAAACATGCCAGCTCTACGTCCCTTCCCAGAGGTGCTATTCTACGATAACGTGCGCGCGCAACACGAGCTCGTGACGAAGCACTTAGGCATCAAACATGCTCGTGCAGTACTCGGATGGTCCATGGGTGCTGGGCAGACGTATCAATGGGCCACACAGTTTCCCGACTTCATGGACCTCGCCGTGCCATTTTGTGGAAGCGCAAAGACCAGCCTGCACAATCAGGTCTTCCTGGAGGGTGTCAAAAGTAGTCTTTACGCTGCACTAGGTACCAGCTCAGCAGGCGTTGCTAAACCAGATCTATACACAGCCCAAGGAAAGAAAGCGACATTTTCGTCTGAGACACGAGAAGCCGGCCTCAAGGCCCTTGGACGCGTTTACGCTGGTTGGGGTTTCTCCCAAAGCTTCTATCGCGAGAAGTTGTATCAGAGTGCCCCGACGCTTGGATACAAGGACTTGGACGACTTCCTTGTCAACTTCTGGGAGTCATGGGCGCTGTCGAAAAATCCAGAAAATATGCTCACAATGGCGCACACATGGCAAGCTGGAGATTGCTCACAACAAGAGCCGTATAACGGTGACTTCAAGAAGGCCATGCAGGCTATCAAGGCGAAAACCTTGGTTCTCCCAGCGAAAACAGATCTCTACTTCCCACCCGAGGATTCTGAGATTGAGGTTCAGAACATGAGGCCTGGCATAGGAACACTAAAGATTTTTCCATCCATTTGGGGCCATTGGTGAGTTTACCCATCAAAAGGTAACCACATTTTCGTGATTAACGGACGAAACAGGGCTGGTGGACCTGGGCAGTCAACAGAGGACGTCAAATGGCTGGATGGGCAACTGAAGGTTTTCTTTGCTGAGAACTAAGATGAGGCGTATGTGCTGCCTCGCTCAAGTCGCTGTAGTCCGGATGTGATTGAATCAGCCGACTGAGGTTGTCGCCTGCTCCACCCTTGCGCTAGGTTCCCCTAATGATATAGTGCCAATAATCCTGAAGCGATCCTTTTCATCTTTGCGTTCAAGGACATGAACCCTATCGACATACCACTCCAGGGCAGTGGGTTTGTCATTTTTCTCTGCATTGTGTGTGAGGAACTCGGAGATGCTCTTTGTAATCTCTACGCTAATCTTGTCTACGCCACCCTGGCTTTGTGTTTTCCCTACTGAAAGATGGGGCATGAAAGGCCGGCGGTCTCGGTCAACTCCACTTATAGAGAATTCGGAGTGTAAAGCCGCCCGAAGCTTTCGGATATTACTGTAAGTGGTGGGGCCAAGCCAGACAGTCTTGTTCTTGAGGGTATGGTGAAAGACACCAAGTTGATCCGACTCGAGTGACATATGAAAAGGGGGTATGGTGCGAGCTACTTGTTCAATTCGGATGCGAATGTCGTGCTTGAGTTTGCTAGACTCGGAGGGGGATGCTAGGAAAGGGTACAGCAAGTTGATATGCGGAGGCCATCGTAGAAACTGTTTGTCATAGACACGTCGTACTGCTTCGATTGGCGCAGTGATGCGTGATGGAGGCAGCAGTACTAAGGCGCTTTTGTGAGATAGCTGCGCCGGCAGCTGTTTCGCCATGGTGATGTTAGAGGAGCCGACGCACTGGACCGTTCCTGGGACCAACTGCAGTGGCGCCCTAGCGGGCTTGGCAACGACTCGTCCCAACGACTGATACATCCTAGGCTTCTGTTGTCGCATTCATTTCCTTTGCCAGACCCAGGATCAAACAAAGTCGCGTCGCCATGTGGGAGCGCTCATAACATCACCAGAACCCCTCCAGTCCAGCCGCCTCTCACGACAATCCGCTCCGACACGCGCCTCATTGCCTAGTAGGATCCGCCAAACATCAGCGTACCGCAGCACCTCCGAAGTTGCGCGACTCCCCACACCCATCCCATCACGTCGACCATGGACGGCCAGAAGAAGCCATCCCGCCAATTTGGTGTCACTAGCGCCATTTCAGAGGCCGCGCCTACCGAGCATGACATCAAGCTGAACGACAAGCTCATCGAGACGCTCAAGGCGGAAAACGTCTTTGAAACCCCAGAAGGCAACCGAAGGAGGTAGGTCACGCTGTCTGCTGGGGATGTGGGAGCGCTTGTCTGACATGATACAGGGAAGAAGTCATCGAACACATCCAGAAAGTCGTCGAAGAATTCATCCGTCGCGTGGGAAAGCAAAAGGGTGTGCAGCAGTCCGTCATCGATGCTGCAGGCGGCAAGATCTTCACATTCGGCAGTTATGCTCTCGGTGTCCATGGTCCGTCATCCGATATCGACACGCTCGTTGTCGCGCCTAAATTCGTGGCCATCCACGAGTTTTTTGAATTCTTCCCTCCAACCTTTCGAGAAATGTCCAACGTCGACGACATCAACGAGTTCGTACCCGTCGAAGATGCCTTCGTGCCAATTATCAAGATGGAATACCGTGAAGTGAGCATAGATTTGCTGTTCGCATCGTTGCCGAAGCGGTCTTCGATACCCAGGAATATGGATACTATTGAGAAAAAGGATCTGGAGGGCCTGTCGGAGTCAGCAACCCGAAGCGTCAACGGCACACGAGTTACCAATGAGCTCCTGGATGCGGTACCGCAGAAAGTCAGCTTCAGACATGCTCTGAGGGCCATCAAGCTGTGGTCCAATCGTCGAGGCATCTACGGAGCTGTCTTCGGATACCCTGGTGGCGTCGCGTGGGCTATTATGGTTGCTCGCATTTGCCAACTCTACCCCATGGCAAATGGTGCTACCATTGTTTCCAAGTTCTTTAGTCTGATGTACAAGTGGACTTGGCCGAGACCGGTCATGCTGAAGCATATCGAAGAAGGCGATTTGGGTTTGCGGGTATGGAACCCACAGGTATATGGTGGTGACAGAGCACACCTCATGCCCATAATCACGCCTGCGTTCCCCTCCATGTGTGCCACACATACTGTCATGCCATCTACCCTGCGTATTATGAAGGACGAATTTGGAAGAGCGGACAAGATCCTACAACACATCTTTGCGGGAACAAAAGATTGGAATGCACTATTCGAACGACATTCATTTTTTACCAAAGATCACAAATACTACTTGAGTGTGGTTGCTGCAAGTCGGACCAAGGAGGCAAACTCGACATTCTCTGGACTGGTGCAGTCCAAAATCCGTCACATTGTCAAGGGCATTGATGATGGACAGACTGGTATCGATACTGCACGTCCATACATCAACTACTTCGAGCGGTATCATCGTTGTAAGGACGATCAGTTCCACGAAGTTACTCAGGGTTCCCTCGAGTACATGATTCCAGCTTCTGAAGTGCCTGCAGACGGTACTGCGCCAGCCGACGACGATACCCACATCATCTACACCACGACCTTCTACATTGGTCTTACTTTGCCTCCGGGTGCGTCTAATCAATCTGTATACTTACGGTTTACCATGCTGACTATTCCCACAGATGCTACCAAGTCGCTCGATATCTCTTACCCTGTCAGCCAGTTTAGGAGCTATATCACAGACTCAGATCTTTACGACGAGAAGCTTATGTCCGTCAAGGTGGTTCACACTCGCAAGTAAGTCTTTCAAACACCGTCGCTTTACCATTCGCTGACCAAGTAGCACTGCACTTCCTGACGACGTATTCCTGCCGGGAGAAACGCGGCCGAAGAAGCCTAGCAAAGATAAAAAAAAGAAGGACGCGAAAAGTGCTAAGCGCCACTTCGCCGATACTGGCCTTGACGTGCGTGAAGAACGCCTCACCAAATCCTCCCAGCGCTCACCCGTGTCTCGGGGGTAGTATTACACCAAAATGCTGACGATTGTGCTAATGTAGGATAGCGAACATTCTGCAGCAAAGCGCCAACAGTCCAAGCTTGCTGCCAATGGAGTCCCTACTCCAACGGCAGCATAGGCTTTGTTTCAGCTAAGCTCGCGCATGTTCGCAATACTTCCACCCTTCCATTTTGCTTACAACCTTGGGGTTTCTGACGTTTCCTTATTATTCAGTTCCGGCTGCATTTTGATGCGCAACCAAAGATCCACCTTGTTAGCAACTTACCCTCCGAGATCGGGTTCGTTTACATGCCGAGCGCACATACCTTCGCACCGGCCGTCCGACGCCGCTTCAGGTGCGTATCAGTGCTACCGAAGGCCTCTAACAAGAAAACCAGAAAAAAAGTAGGAAAAGAGCGCATTTTTGCGCATCAAAACACAACACTACAAATAGGTTTGGTCGCGTCCACTTTACAATAATTTTTCTTCGATCCACACTCTACTTGGCGTTTTAACCTGGCGTTTAAAAAGCATCGGATGGCGTTTGCGACAAGAACGGGATAGGCACCCATAGCTCGCACGCACGCGACGGTGTTTGAGTTTTTTTTCGGCTCGAGGGAAGGGGAGGGCAGTCATATCTGCTTTCAATACTTCGCATAATGGCAGGTGACCGGTTAGATGCGAAGGCGTTGTTCTTAAGTAGCGGCAGCAAGCCTAGGCACAGGGTTTCTGTACGTAATTTCGCAAGTCTGTACAACCAAAATTTACAAACATATGGAGCCTTGGGATTCCGACAAAGTCGTAAAGAGTGGATTCTTGATTGTCAAACGTGAAGAGATGATGTGTGCTGCTTGACTTCCAGGACGGTGTGATACTGTATTGTTCCTTTGGGATTCAAGGTAGTTATATGTTATTCGGCAACAATAAAACATCTTTCTAGTGAGATATTTGGCGCTCGAACAATGGTATTGGCCTCACAAGTGATGGTACTGGTTTTATGATGACGAGGGTCGTTGCGAATCAAACGCACTTTTTCCGCAGATTGATGAACTGTCGCAGTCGCAGTTGCCTCACTAGTTCATGGGATATTTGCTCACGTGAAAACGCGTATACTCCGTCCTTTGCATCCACCAATCACGACCTGCTGGCGCCTAAACGCCCCGCAGTTACTAACAGGCAATCAACAGAGGTCATATCCAGTTTTGCTTCTGTTCTTTCTTCCCAATTCACTATTCAGATTACCAGACAAGAATCATGGTTGTGCAATCACGCCAGTACGGTGTTCTTCCCATCAATTGTCTTTTTTGTGTCGCGATCACAGCTGATTGACTTCTTCATAGTGAACTTAATTCCGGAGATGATCGCAGGCTTTGGGGCCTTGATCATGATCAGTCCGTGCAGTTACTTGGCTTGTATAATGAAGGAAGAGCGTAAGAAGCTTTGGAACCATGGACCACAATGTACTAATACTTGAACTAGCATCATGACTCGCTACCTTGGGATACAACAAGAGTTTGTGAATATCGTGAATTTAAATTGGTACACGCCGCTAATATTTTCAGTATTGAAGCACACAAGAAAAGAATCTTTGGTGATTCATGGGAAGAAATCGATGGAGAGAGAATGGCCACAGCTCTACTGTCGTTTGACTATGAATTTGAAGCACTAGAAGCTCAAGCTGAAGAAGATCAGCAAAGGATGGATAAGGATCCCATGCTTCAGCAACTCAAAAACCAGCTGATTGTTGCTGACGGGTATATTTATACAAGAATCATGTGTGGATTGAATGGCTGATCATGTATAGAAAACTAAACTCTATTGCCACGGCGTGCTCCGAACTGGAATTATGTCACCCCTTGACATCGCTCATCCTTTCAAGACTACCACGCGAGCTTCGCGATCAGATGTGCGTTGTTATCTCTCGTAACTGCAGATTGACTATTGGAAGACCTTTTATGAGAATTGGCAAGATGGAATTATCGAGGGAACTCTGCTGACCGTTTTGTGCTCGTAGCTACGATCTTCTTTGGGATGACAAGCATGCCGAACATCTCGACGCGGCTCTTTCAATAATACCCGATGCAGTCAAGATATCTGACCAACCCATCCTTGATTTGCCACCTCTTTCTGTACCACCATTCGCTAATTCCGAATTCGTGGGCATCGAGTTTGCATCCGAGGCTGCAACGAGGTACTTCAGGGCCATAACAGTCGCTGAAATCAATCACCGGTGTGTTCGAGCCCACCTCAATCGTAACCGCTTCGGGCCCATGTGTTTTCCCATAAAAGAAGCTATCAACAGCCTTACCATAAGTGTGGACGAAAATTCCTCCTACGGGTTGGGGATGTCAAGATTCGCGAAAACGGCTCTGGAAGACAGTCTCGATAGCCTTCTCATGCTCAAAAGCAATCGGCATTTGAAAGTTAAAATCTATCTACCCTGTCGCATACAATACAAAAAGGGACTATTTGAGGTCCTCGAAACTATCAGACCCTTTTTTGCTACGTTCCGAGATGCCAACATGGACGTCAGGGTTCTAGGCTACGATTTCTTCAATCCAATCGAAGATGACAGTGAATGGATCTTTTCAGAGCAGCTGAATTATTACTTTAATGGTACACCGGAAGAGTGGCTGGAGATGAAAACCAAAGAGGTCAAAGAGATAGCAGACACAAGGCAGAGAAAAGCTTGCAAAAGCGTTCGTAACTCATGCTCGATTGGGAAATGGCGCTAATCAAGAAGGCAGATATTGCGGGCCATGCGGGTGAACCTTGGGTTCTTCAATGAAGAGAGTCGGCATAATGAAGCCACTGAGGCCACCTGATACTATCACGATCCCTACTAGCATGCGTTATATGTATGTCGATCGTGGGACTTTGTTCGGTGGCTGACTCGTGCAATACCTGTGTTGCGGGAATTGGGGGCCATTAGGGGGCGGGCACTGTCGCATGTTCAGGCTTTGGACACTTGGCAGGACTCCGAATTGATAGTTGGGCCTCTTTTATCAATATATTTTTATCATTTCAAACTCTTAAATATGCTTGCATAAGCTTGCATGGTGTGTTTCTCAGAGATATTCTTTGGCCTTGAGAGGAAATTATATATATTAATGACCAGGAACAGTTTTCTGCTCCACGGTATCACGGGCCCAAATAAATATCCCGGCACCCATAAGCACTGGCTATGCACGGAAGAAAAGTGCGGCAAGGCCTAGCCCTTAACAAAAATTGGCTATTTCTGTGGTGTTGACGACGGCCCCTAGCGGCACTGCTAAACCCGAGGCGGACGCATGTCTCCAGCTACGTCATAGGCAAGTCGAAGGACGCGCGCACGCCTCCACTAAACCCCGTCTCCAACACAGTACAACAGGGTTTGGTGGTGCCCAAGCCGAAAATGCGCCATAAGATAAGTTGTGCCTCACGTGCTGTTGTACGCTGAGTACTTCTTCAACTTTTGTTTCTACCTCGGAAAGCATCCTTGGCCATCCTGCAGCGGAAATCGGACGTGACCAGCGCAGAACTGGGCAAGCCTCACAAATATTAGTGGAGCTGCAACAATCCTGGCCTGACCGAAGCGCCTGATGCGAACGCTTTTTCAAGCAACACCAACCACGACGATATGGCGCAACAATTCCTTGCAGACCGCAATGGCTGGCTGTCGTTCAGGAGTAGCACGCCGCTGCTCTACGTTACCGCTGAAGATGCCGAGTTTGATATCCACACCATGAAGGCGTGGCGCGATGAGGGTTTTATCGTCGAATACATCCCCATGGGCAATGGCGGGAAGCAATATGTGCAGACGCTTCATAAGTTGGGTGAGAACATGAGTATTGGAGAGCGTTACGCTATCGTAGGTATACGACCCTCTCTTAGTCTTGTGCATTGGAAACGACCACTGGCTACTAGCTGCCGCCCGAGACAACATTCGCTGACGGCAGATTCTCAGCTTTTGGAGACGCAGCGGCTGTGTGCTTAGACGTCTTTTCGGAGCCCAGAGCCGCGACCTCGAAACTCTGTTCCCTCATCGCTTACTACCCGACTTCGATTCCCGATACGCGACATCGCTTCACCTCCTCTTTTCGCGTCCTCGTACACCTCGCAGAGGGCGCATCCGGAAATGAGTGCACTGTAGGCGTGGTGCGCCGTCCGGAAGTCCTCGGCATCCAGGGCAAGCGGAAAACCGTGCAGAAGCGCGTCACACCTGGCATTGGCGTTGGAGGTTTGCAGGACAAGATTTTATATCCTTGTTTCACGTACGAAGGTGTAGACGCCGGATTTGCCGAACACGATTTGCCCGAATATGACGCCGTCGCTGATGCGCTCGCATGGAGCCGGAGTTTGAGCACAGTAAGAAAAGGCTTCAGCGCTGAAGTTGACTTGGAACGAGTACTGGAACAGAACGAAGAGCGTGCGTCCTTTCTTCGCCAACTCTCCTGTAGCAATGGTCTAACAAATAAACAGAAAAATTCCATGGCAAGGCAGTCGATAAGCTGTTAGAAACATATACTCGAAGCCCAAGGCCCTCTGTAAACTTTACCCCAACGATGACGGGCGGCATCGGTGCGTCTGACCTCAAACGCTTCTACCGTGACTACTTCCTGAGAAGCTGTCCGCCATCCCTCCACATGCGCCTCATTTCGCGCACTATAGGCGTCGACCGTATTGTCGACGAGATCTACTTTAATTTCAAACACACTTGCCAGATGCCCTGGATCCTACCGGGCGTCCCTCCTACAAACGAAAAAGTCGAAATTGTCGTCATAAGCATTGTTGGCTTCCGTGCTGGCAAGATCTGGAGCGAGAGGCTATATTGGGACCAGGCTAGTGTGCTGTTCCAAGTTGGATTGCTGGATCCAGAAGAAGTCCCGAAGGATTTCAAGGGCAAGACTAAGGGAGGTGACGATGATGAAGATGAAGATGGCGAGGGAGGCCTTGAGATGCTGCCTGTTAGTGGGAGCGAGGCAGCGAGAAAGGTTATGGATGTTGAGAGTGAGGAGTTTAATGATATGATAGATGATTGGTAGGCGTTCTAGAGGATCGAGGGAAGAGGAAGAGTGGAGATGTATCGAATCTTCTGTTCATATGTTCGCTTCTTTTGCTTTGCCATTGCCCTTACTTATGTTTTAAATAACTTTGAAATAATTGGAATACTCCCTAGTGTATGTTTCATTTTTATGTCCTTTCCTTAATGACGCGAGGAAGTGTCAAGACTGCCAGAAAATATATTGACAAATATGAGAGGGATATAATTTGTGGACAAGGAGGATGTTCACTACTTCCGCTCTGTAGACAGTCTGATTGGCCGTCAGATGTCGGACCTCTTTTCTCAATTTTATTTGCTACATGAATTTTAAAATAAAGTTATTCTTTCACATACGACCATCGGCAAAATACAGCACTGGATCCCGTTTGCTCTCCATACGTTAAGTCTTTGACCGGCGGACTAGTAGTTAGGTGGGTGACCACTAGCGAATCCCCGCTGTTGTATGTTTTTGTTTGTTGTCATTGCACATTTCTTGCTTTTTGTGGGAGACCCAAAAGGGAAGGTATTGAACTCGGAGGCGTAGGGCTCGGTTCATGATGATGTTCGTGCGTGGCTTCAAGAGCACCCACGAGAATTTTACTACTGAAAACGAATCAACCATTCATGCTTTGTCTAGAAAATGATTGAGATTAGCATCCTAGCTACGAAGGCCCCAATTTCTAAAACGAATGTGATCTAACTGCGCCGTCTAAGTACAAAAGAAAACTATAAATAAAATCAATGGTGTGATGGTATAGATACAAGCGCACACCAAGCCGCGCCGAAGCCGCCATATTTGGCATTGTCAATCCAACCATCACACTCAGTTCCATGCAATGACTTCAGTAAAGTTCTTCTGCTCAACCCTTCCATCCGGCTTCTGCAGCTGCTTGGCCTCGGCATTAAAGCAAAGCTCCGTAACGCCCGTGTCGCAAACAGGCAGCGTCTGACGAGTCTCCATGTTACAATAGATGCCTTCGAACAGAGAGATAAAGTCCGGGCCGCGCGAAGTGCTGCTGGCACAGAGCTCAGTCGCATTATGACCAGGCTCGGAACTAATGACGAGTCTGTGGTCCACGATCGTAGGTTCATCGGCGGCATCGCGTTTGAAGATGGATCCGCCTTCGGGCGTGTAGGCGCGGAAGGCAGGGTAGCGGCAGTAGTCGGCAGGGCGGGAGCCTTGGGTTTTCTTGTTGGTGAAGTCGATCCAGTGGATCATTAGCATGCCAGCTTTGAAGTCGTTGGTGTGGTCGTTATCGATCCAGGTGCATTTGGGTTTGCTGTGTTGGTTAAAAGTTAGCGTTCTGATGGTATCGTTGTTGTTCTTTAGCAGTGGGCACTTACTAGCTGCCATCAACCTAGTTTGCTTGTTAGTATGCGGAAAGGAAGATAGAGCTGGAGATTTGGTGGGAGAAGAGACTTACTGCGACGTTACCGTAGTACCAGTTCAAACCGCAGAAGGCGCCCCAATCACCGATCTAACCGTACTTTGCGCCATCCACGAAGGTAGTCGTGGCATATGGGATACAGATTGCGTCGTTAGTCGCTTGGATCTGAACAAACATGGCTTGCTGGTTGTTAGATTGTTGTACGCCAAAGTCAGCGAAGCCTCCGCTGCCAATGTAGCCGCCGCCTCGAGAACCGATGAGTTGTTGATTCTCGTTGTAAATCCGGATTGCTTGGATGCTTCCGTCGGCACCGCTGAGATCGGGACCATTCAGGGCTGCTGCAACACGGACGTTACAGACATTTGGGTTGGGGTTTTGAAAGGAGGAAGCAAAGAAGCCGAAGACGCTGAGGACGTTGGCTACCACACCGAGGACTTGGGCCATTGTTAATGAAGAGGTTTGGGTTAAGGAGTTGTTGGTGATTAGATGGTGTTTGATGGTTGATGCTGTGGAATGAAACGGAATGAAGTGGCACTGTTGACCTTATATAGATGTTGGGCAAGAGCAATCGAGTTGTCTATATGCATCAGATTTTGAAGCTCTTGAACTCTGTCAATCTCACTTTTCGATACATTCTAGGTTAAGATCTTGTTGACAAAGTTCTGTTCTATGTTTACACCTTCATGGGTCGTCATGACAAACATATGTGCCTGTTAATCTAATAGTCAGACTCTCCATGTCCACAACACACCCAAGTCATCATGAGAAGCTGTCGTCCGGCAGTTCAAGAAGCTATCAATACACAATGCTCACCTCGCTAGCCGATGTTGTCGCAAAAAGACCTTTGGAAGTCTTTCAGCCGCACGGTATGACACCGCCTCTACAAGTCACAAGTACCAAGTCAAAGTAAAGTTTGTTCTCGGTTACATGTTTAATAAGCGTTCAGCTCTTGGTAGTGGTAGTGAAAATCATGTCGATGTAAGACACCAGATCATGTAATCCAAGTCTTGGCCTTGGCTCTCGTAATATCCCTGTCTCTGCAACTTTGTCAGCGTCAGAACAGATTGATGCCATTTTAAGCAGTTTTTTTGATCTGGTTAATATATATCTTGGCGAACTCTAGAGAAGAGTATAAAAAAGTCGGTTTAGGTGACTGTGAAAAGATAGGTGTAATTGTGCGCAGAATTGTTAGCGCCAGCAATATATTCGAACTCACGTCTTCGTGCTTTTTTCACTGCTACTCCCCCGAAAAAAAGACTGTCGATATGAATTTAATTATTGCGATTGTTGCGATCGTTCTATCGAGCTCCCTACCAGCATCAGTCACGGCGGGACATGGCGTGAGTCTCTTCCTCATTCTACGCAGCAACTCAAAACGGGAAACGCCAATAGATTAACAGATTTGCGGAACCCAGGATTAGTATTGCTACGTACACGACGGTCGCATTTGCCTATGATCTCTAAGAAAAGTGCATCGTTCCCGTACAACTCGACGCAAGGCTTCGACTGAATGTAATACTCATCTTTCGACAGTGTAATCAAGATACAAATACCTATCTGTTGTCGTTTCGATTCGTAGATAAGTGGATATTATAATGAATTTTTTATGTTATTGTAGCGAGTGTGAATATTTGGGAAATCTTGTGTGAAGTTGCAAATGTAACTCGTGACGCAAGTGTGTAGCATCATGCTCACTGTTTTACCAGCATATGCTACTACTCATAGTGTTTCTCCTTTACTCTCTTAGTTTTACGATTTTTGATAGAATGGCCAGGGTTCATTGAAGAAACAGTCAACAATGAGTGAGTCTACAGTCGATAGCTCAGCAATCAGTTTGTACGAACGTTCAACGTACTTGGAAGTCAATATTTGTGTGATCCGTGAGATTTTAGTAACGCTTCTTTTCCAACTGTCGTACACGATCATTGAACAACTTACGCCCATTCTCAACTACGATGTACGTCATATTAAGAATCGATAATCGTCATTCATTGCATCATTATACGGAACGCCCGACTCAAGTAGAAGCCAGAGGTCCCTACTCATCCCAGAAACTGTGCGAAAGAGAAACAAAGCTACATCACTACTAATTGTCACGACTGAACTGCGAGGTTTCTGGTTGAAACGTGTATTTCATTTGGCCAGATAAATGATTGTGTTCCAATATTTCATACGGATACTGTTCCAGCAGTGTAGGCAGTAGGAAAGAAACTCAGTTCGGTCTATAACGGGTCTAGCTGATGAGAGCAAACAGGAATCGCCAAATCCAACAAATAACGAAGACAATGTAAAGCTCATCCCAGAAGTTCCAAAATGAAAGACCAAAATATTTGGGATGAAATCAGTCGAGTTCATTCATGTTGGGACGTTATATCGGTTTCCAGTTTCGGTGGTGATGGGGAAAGTGATCGTGGGCGCTGCGATGCGCTAGTAGCACCAGCGCCAGCATGTTCGTCTTCTTCACCGATTTGGAGTTGATCTCGCGAAGCAGTTGGCTCCGTACTGTAGAAAGAGGACGTGTGATTTATGGAATTGCGGGATAAGCGATTGTAAGCATGGCTTCTTGCAGCAATGCTTCTAACAGCACCCCCGGTTGCGGTCGAGTCCATGGATCTCCGGGCCTCGGCTCTGTTTCGCTGAATTTGTGACCAGTCATGAACAATGTTGTCAATGGAAAGAGGGCGGGGCGGCAATGATCTGCGATGATCTCGGTGTAGGGTCTCGGCGAGGATATGACGCGGTGCAGAGGAGATGCTTACACCATCAACAAGGGTATCAGCTTCCGAAAGGTGCGTTTCACTCATGCTTAGCGGGCGACCATTGAGTGTATGATCACTTGCCCTGCGAAAGTCGTTATCCTCATAGGAAGGAAACCCGCCCCCCAGAAATGCCAGGATAGAATGGCGTCGAGGGGATAGGCCATCTAGCCAACGTAGATATTCTCCACGCTCAGTGACACCATCGGTATCTGTCATGCCAGGAGGAGCTGTGTGAGCCGCGACACCAGAGAAACGAGTTTTGAATTCGGTGAGTTGCTTACGACCCCATGAAATTCGCTTCTGGGGAGGCAAAGCCCGCAAAGCCTGAGGGTCCAAGGTTTTCAGTGAAGCCAGTGCGTCCGCAGCAGTGGTTGATGAGGTGCATACATCAAGTGTAGCTAGATCAAAGTTGGTGTCGATCTCTTCTAGTGATTCGGCATGTTCCTCACGAGGGGATGGCGCTATTTCAATTGTAGGAGAAGCGCTGATCGGTGCGCATGCCGGATCCTGATGACGGTTTTCGTACTTTGAGCTCTCTTTCCTCGAAAACCATTTACCCAGGTTGAAGGGGATATTTCGCGACTTGAAGAATCTCGTTCTGACTTTTTGCTTAATATTGGAAAGTATTTGTCGGCCCTCGGCTAAAGAGTTCTTATTGTACTTGTATCTACCGATACTGCGGACTGTTGTCTGTAAGGGATTGTCGTCAAAGGTTGTTGTAGGCATTCGGGAACTTCTGCCGGATCTGGAACGGATTGAAGTCTCCCGTGATGGACCGGCCGATGTCACTTCTGGAATGACTGTGAGGACAGAAGAGAGCATCGCAATTGGAGTAGAAGCCCGTATCATATGAATCAAAGTGGTACGGAATTCAGTTTCAATGGGATCTGGTTCTAGACTTATGGTAGAAAGAAGGGATAGTCGCGTGGCGTTGGCGTTTCCAGAAGACAACAATAGCCGTTTGCACCTTTTGCAGTAGACATCGCGAACCTGGGTAAAATCGTTCGAGATTCTGACGTGTACCCGGAGCGATTTGTGGTAATGATGGCAACTTGGGCAGACCCCACTGATTTCGAATGCCCAATTTCCATTGGGTGGTCTGAGTGCACTTCCAGTAGAAGAGTTTGTGTTCTGCCTAGTGAGTCCAGGCATAGGGGGTATCGCGTCTGAAGAGCCAGTATCATGAGTGGTGCCGACAGATGTATTTGCAGGAGGCAGAGAGGTCATCGTTGGAGAACCAAGCCCAATGGACATGATGGCTAAGCGGTGTGTCCGCTTCCGTGACTATAGTATCCAGAAGAGACCTTCGATGAATGCATGAGTTGATTCGGTCAGAAAGAAAACAGTAGTAAAATCCTAGGTTGCGAACAACGAAGGGTCTTAGGTTGAGTTGAATGTACGTCTAGAAACAAGGCCAGTAAAAAACAGAATGGGTGATCCAAGGGTAGGGCGAGACGGTCAAATAGCTGCGGGAACTGGTTCGGTGGGTGTTCTGGAGAATTTAACAAGTGGTTTGGCATACCCTGCACCCACCACTATCGATGTTCTTGCCTACACTCAGGCGCAGGACGCCTCAATGGTGAATTGTTGGGGCTAAATGTGTGGCGCAGTCGCATGGGTAAGCTCCAACTCGCAGAGATTGGCAGGGGCCGAAACCACACATGACACAATGAGGAAGTTCTGAACAAGAGCAACTGGATAATGCTCTTGGATTCATGACCCAAAGAAATTCCCGAGATTTATGGTTAAGGTCAGAAGGACAGGTTTATCAAGTACGGCCTGGCCAGCAAAGTGCGATGGCAAGCCATATCTTGCGGAAAGAGAAGAGTGAGTTGGGGGCCACGAACTGGAGGTAGTACAAACTGCACCACCTAAGAGGCGCTTGTCGCGCGACAGCGGGATGTGGCTGGAGAATGTCAGCCTGGCTATGCAGGCAACAATATTGACCATGACGTGAAGTCGCTCACATGGTTGGTCTTGTGCCTTGTTTTACTATTTTTTTGTTGTAAGTCGAGATGGATCAAATGCTGGGAGCGCATTGCTAGGCAGCACTATCAGGTCGTTTTACACAGCCCACCACTGCACTGAACAAGCAATAGAGCACGAAAGAGCGGTGAGGTGATACTCCGGACGGAAGTTCACAGAAAATATTGTTTAGTTCATACAACTGGTACGATGCGGCAACAAATTTAAGTGGCTCTCAAAGTGTAGTCCAACACAAGGGTTTACATGCAATAACTGGAGAGATGGTGTCGAAGGAGCTAGTGTCGTAACGGGACTAGCTTGGTGCACGTGCCGTCGTCTTGGCTCCCACTCGCTTGCTGGTGAATTTGATGATTTTCGATAACCCACTCGACAGAGCATCGACAACACCACATCGACGTACGACAAGCCGCCATCATGTGTGAGTATGCCCTGTTTGCTTAAAAGCCCCTTGGTAATTGCGACTGTACTCGTGTGTCGAGCGAGAATCATTCCGCTCGCGCAGAGGGCAGGGTCGCAGTGCTGAAGGACCCAACACGCATAGTACAGACATGCTGACAATCGCACAGCGCTCGTCTCCGGAGAGAAGTCTAAGTATGTCAAGACACCATCCTGAGGATTCACGCATCATTCGTCGCTTCCGTCTTATCGCAATGCCTTCTTCGATCTCAGCTACCCGTTATGTCAATCCGCCTCCCTAGTCCAATGGCGTGCAAGAACCAGTGGGAAGAGCAATGGTAGACGCTTGTGTGCAGGGTGTATTTTATAGGATACTAAGGATCTGGCTGAAAGAGTTACACAAACTTGGGCATGCTAGTTGGACTGGACAGGCGGATTGCGATAGCTGGTGGCTGTGAGAATGGAATTGCGCACACGCACATGGGCGATGTCGATTTTGACTCGTTCTCGCACAGTCAGAGCAATGCTGACTTGCACAGCTTCCAATACATCATCCGTTTGTTGAACACGAACGTCGATGGCAAGCAGAAGGTCATGTACGCCTTGACCAAGATCACTGGTGTCGGTCGCCGTTACTCCAACTTGGTCTGCAAGAAGGCCGATGTCGATCTCACCAAGCGCGCCGGTGACCTTACCTCCGAAGAGCTTGAGCGCATCGTCACCATCATCCAGAACCCTCTCCAGTGTACGTATCGGCCAATGTTATCTCCATTGCACTATCGCTGACACACAAACAGACAAGATTCCTTCCTGGTTCCTCAACAGGCAGCGCGATATCGTCGATGGCAAGAACAGCCAGATCCTCGCCAACGGTGTTGCCTCCAAGCTTCGTGAAGATCTTGAGCGCCTGAAGAAGATCCGTGCTCACCGTGGTCTCCGTCACTACTGGGGCCTCCGTGTCCGTGGTCAGCACTCCAAGACCACCGGTCGCCGCGGCCGAACCGTCGGTGTCTCCAAGAAGAAGGGATAAATGTTTTCGCTTGCGCTGGGCAGCTGGGGCTGGGACATGCCTTTACGAAATGGGTGGTGCACTTACGGTGTTTATCAAACGGCTTTCATTGGCTTTCACGTTTACACTTCATGCGGCAATGCACGATATGGGGTGAAATGATGCGCCACGGTTAGGGTTGGCCGAATACAGCCTGTACCAAAATCACACATTCAAATTTCGACTTGTTCCAACGAATGACTTGACGTTTTTTTACTACCGAAAGATTCAATGCTTTTGTGCATCACGATGGTTGCTTTGCAGCGCTCGGCCCGCTCAGTTGTTGACAAATGAAGACTTTCGTCGGCAGTGCAGCCATACTATGTCCACCACGTCACACAACACCTATGCTTATCAAGTCTATCGTGGTGCATCGCTGTCCTCCAAGAATAGGTCTTTTTCAAAAATCAAGGAAGGACTCGCGACTATGTGTTGCTCGTATGCAGACTTGTTACTCCACTGTATGATGAAATCTGGTCGCAAGCTACTAATAAGATATCGACAGCATTGCGAACAGCATTACCGTAGCGGGTACACTTGAAACAAAGAAGCAGTAAGTCCTAGGCTCGTGATACATGTCTCGATCCCTGTACCTTGGTGTTCATCGATTCATGGCGATTGGAGGACTAACCGCCAAGTGTGGAGTGCGCTGTCTCCCATGCATGGTGCACCAACCCGTCGCAGCTGTCGGCTTACGCAGTGTTACGATATTCCACCCACTAACACCATCCCTTCCCCCGCCATGTGCGCCTCGTCCGAAAAACGGTCCTCTGAAGCACTGCAGCCTCGTCTTGTTACAAACGTCGTGGCGTGGTCACAGATTCGCGGTGCAGGGCCAGCGAGCCGGGTGGGTGCATGCACGAGGGAACTATGATTGATATAAGCCTTAGTGAGGGATGAGCAGCCTACGTTTATAGTTTATATACCTGTGGTCCTTCCGGTTCTTTGTTTTTTCTATGGTTGCCACATAGACGGATTTTCGCGCCGTAGCCGCTACAACATGGCGACTCTTGCCGTTGCACCGCAGACCCCCTCCTCCCCGAAAGTGCGGATACGATCTCAGTCATTCGACTCGCCGTTTCTCCGCATCAGCGTCACGTCCGTCGAAGAATCATCGTTTTCAAAGTCGACCGGGACACTGGAGACACTGGCAGGCTACGATGACATGGAGGAGAGCGTTGCAGCGGGAGTGTTCAGGTCTGCGAGTACGCTGCCTCTACTGAAGACCAAGATGAGTGACGAGTCGATGCTGTCAGAAGCATCGAGTGCCAGCTCTTCGTCCGTCACCACGTCTCCGACCAGCACGGAGAGCAGCATGGAACTCGACGACGAAGACGAGTCAATTGCGTCGGAAGAAGAAGAAGAAGAAGAGCAACAGCAAGAGCAACAGCACCAGCGACCCTATCCTTTGACATTTGCTCAGAGCACCACCACCACAACTACCCCCTCCTCAGACAAGGACAAGGACACGGCGCCGAGCCCACTGTCCCCCTTTCTATACCAAGATACCAGCTGTCCCATGTACTCGCCGTGGCTCGTCTGCGCCGTCCTCGACATGCACGACGTGCACCGGTTGGACTGGACGTCAATTGCGGAGCCGATTGAACGGGTGTGGGGCGTACGGACTAGCAGCGCCGATGTACTCGGTATCTTGAGTGACAACGGGCGGGTGATGCGGCGACGCTGGTGGGACTGAGCTGACTAGCCTGGCATACTTGTCCTTTTTCTTTTATCCTTCTTCTTTTATTTTACGTCACTGATTGTCACTTCGTGGTTCTCTTTCATTTGTTATGGTTTTGGTTTGCATGGTTTAGGTTATGGCTTTTCTTTCTCCAATTTTTTGTCTCTTTTGTTTTATGGGTTTGCTCCGGGTTGGGAACGGTAGTTACGACGTTATGACACATTTTGTGATACAATATGCAGAATTGAAGTGAGAGATAAAAAAGGTTAGAGGAGGGGGGGTCATCGGGGGGGGGGGGGTATTGCGTTAAGATTGCAGGCTGCAGAGTTGGATTCAGTGATAGCATTTATGGGGTTCTTTTGTAACAAGAATATTGAGTATGCAATTGTTCAACTTGATGATTATCATCTGCCCACTTCACCTCAAGTACATGGGATAATTTTGGAAAAGGGTATGAACAAAATATTCACTCTCAGCCCCCACACTGTCTGTCTGTGTGGGGGATGACGAGCTGAATAGCATGCGGGATGGAGGGGGTGAGGAACAGTTGTCCCACAGCGAGTGGTTTCTTGGCCACATGCAATCAATCATGGTTGCGGGTATTACTGCATTAGTTCGGGATGAGAATGGTCAAACGGAGACCCGTCTGTTGTACAGAATGTACTAATCGTGGAGGCACATGACGTTATGCGAGGATGTAGCAATGCAGAAAACATGTGATAGAACAATTGTATGTATATTGGAATTGCGCTGTCATCGTGGATTTAACCAATGACTGAATTCTAGCTATCCAAGGCATCAATTTCCCATCATACAAACTTTCGATACGCAAGGGCTAGAACAGCATATGAAAGAGTCACGTGTGCACAGCGCGGTGCTTACCGCTGTGTCGCAAAGGCCCGACTGCGGCAGAACCGTGCACGGAAGCTGTGTATGGTTCGGGGCATGTGCTCGGATGACCATGTTGCAGAGCGAGGCAAGCAAAGGAGCGGTGGAGTATGTCTGCCATGTTGCCCTTGCAGACCGTATAAGTCCATGCATTTGACTCCAGAGGCACCACGCGAAAGGGCCCACCGTCTCTTACACAGGCTATTTCCTCTTCTGGCAGTGGAACACCCGCACGTGAGAGCGAGAGCAACACGCGACGCGTGCTGAAAAGACGTGTCTCCACTCACTCAATCAATCATCAGCGCCAACCGCCATTTCGAGTACTTCGACGTTGCCCCTTCCTTTTGTTTGGCCCTCAATCAGCTCGTTAAGACCCTTGAACGCACCAGGCTCGATGAGGCCCACTGCTTCCCACTCTGCGCCTACGGTATCTTGATTCTCGACCTTTTCCATGAGGCCGAGTATGGCATCCTTGACGGTGCCTACTGTGCCCTTGTCTTCGGCACCCGCTTGGGCCTTTGGCGCAGTCTTGATGCTCTGTTTGAGGACAGAAGTTGGACACGTAATGCGCAGCTTCATTTGCATGCGAGCGACGGGTATTGGCTGATGAGCGATGAGCGCCTTCATGGCAAACAGGGCTTGCGATTTGGCCGACTTGTTGGTGACGACGCCAGTCCACTTTGGCAGCTCCTTCGCCTTTGCCTTTTCGTCACCATCTTCCTTGGCCTCGCCCTTTTCCTTTTCACTCTGCTGCGACGCTGCAGCAGAACTCAGCTGATCCAGCGCCTTCTCAATCATGCCTGTCGTGTACACGCGCTTCGTCTTGGGATCCACCAGCTTTCCGGATACAATGTCGATGACCTCATTCTTGGTCCTCTCGAGCTCGGCATTGCGCTCCTTCTCGCCTACTTGCAGCTCGCCATGGTCGAGTATATTTATGATGATTTCCTCGAGCGACTTCTTGGGAAAGGCTTTTTCGAGATCGGTCTTGGGGGCGACCTGACCCTTGGAGACGTTGAGGAAGACGTTTTCGATTTGCAAGACGTTAGAAAGATCCTTTTCGACCTTGTTACGCCACTCGAGGACTTTGTTCTTGTAGCATGCGATTTCGAAGCGCTTCTTGCCTGTGGCGTGTAAGTGGAATGCAGAATAGGCAGAGAGGGCTTGGCGGGGTCTTCGCACCCTTCTTCATGCGCACCAGCGACACATTGGTCAGCTTGATCTGGTTCGACGGTTTGATGATCCCGACAGGCATGTTGGCGATCTATGGGGGCTCTGTGGGGGGTAGTTGTGGTCGGGGTGCTGATGCCGGGCGCGCGATATAAAAGTTGGATGGCATTTTTGGTGGGGGCATTGCCCTCAGCGGATGACATAGCACCAGCCGGTTCACTCAGAATGATCCAAAGGGCGCTAGGCCATATCGGGCACATGCAGGTCCCGCGGTACTCTGCTGCACCTGCACGCCTAGTAGAGCTCTCTAGCTGCTCCGGCTGCAGCAGAACAGACGGTGACGGTCGTGTTCCTGACGTGTCTGCCAGGGCCGTCTGTCGTCCCGTCCTCGCAGATGGGCCGGCCAGCTATCGTGAAACGCTAAGCCCATGTGATGCTCGAGCTTGGACGCGCCAGCCTCTCTGATAAGCTTCGGGGGTGCGCGTCATGCTCCGTTGCCTGGACAAGCGGCTCCTCCGCACGAGCTATCCCACACCCCATCTCACCTCCTCCTTCTTAACCCTCCCTCACCCTCTCTCACTCCACATTCCATCCCCCTCTCCCCCAATCCATCATCAGCTGCTTCTTCCGTCACTGGTAGAAGCTCTTCCTCTTCTTCAATCACATATAGCTACGGCTCTGGAAGCTTAGCACACCCGCCACCATGAAGGTAGCCACCTCAGCGCTGCTCGTTGGAGCGGCCGCTGCTGTTGCGCCCCAGCAGCAGCAGGTCCTCAAGTTCCCTAGCTCCTTCAGCGAGCTCAAGGAGTCTTCGTGGGCCAAGGGCATGCACAACCTCGAGGATAGTCTCAAGTCGCTCACTGGCGAGGCGCGCGCCATCTGGGACGAGGTCGCCATGATGTTCCCTGAGAGCTTCGAGAAGGCCGCCTTCTTCTCCCAGCCCAAGCCGCATACCCGCAAGCCCGACAGCGAGTGGGACCACATCATCAAGGGCGCCGACATCCAGAGCGTCTGGGTTGAGAATAAGAACGGCGAGAAGGAGCGCGAGATCGACGGCAAGCTCGAGCAGTACAGCTTGAGGGCCAAGAAGGTCGACCCCAGCGTTCTCGGCGTCGACAAGGTCAAGCAGTACTCTGGCTACCTCGACGATGAGGAGGAGGACAAGCACCTGTTCTACTGTGAGTACCCCAATGAACACCCGCCATCGCCACTCCGTGTATCTAATGCTCCGCAGGGTTCTTTGAGTCGCGCAATGACCCCAAGAACGACCCCGTTGTCCTCTGGCTCAACGGCGGACCCGGCTGCTCCTCGCTGACCGGTCTGTTCATGGAGCTCGGTCCCGCGTCCATCACCAAGGACCAGAAGATCAAGAACAACCCATACTCGTGGAACAGCAATGCTTCCGTCATCTTCCTTGACCAGCCCGTCAACGTCGGATACTCATACTCGAGCGGCTCAGTTAGCAACACTGTTGCTGCTGGCAAGGACATCTACGCCCTACTCACCCTCTTCTTCAAGCAGTTCCCCGAGTACTCGCACCAGAGCTTCCACATCTCTGGCGAGTCTTATGCTGGTCACTACATCCCTGTCTTTGCCTCCGAGATCCTTTCCCACAAGAAGCGCAACATCAACCTTCAGTCCGTTCTCATCGGTAACGGTCTGACTGATGGTCTTACTCAGTACGAGTACTACCGTCCCATGGCCTGCGGTGAGGGTGGCTGGCCTGCCGTTCTTGACGAGTCTCAGTGCCAGGCTATGGACAACGCCTACCCCCGCTGCGCCAGCCTCATTGAGAACTGCTACAACTCTGAGTCTGTCTGGTCCTGTGTTCCCGCTTCCATCTACTGCAACAACGCCATGATTGGTCCTTACCAGCGCACTGGCCAGAACGTCTACGACATCCGCAAGCCATGCGGCAGCAACTCGCTCTGCTACGACGAGCTTGAGTGGATTCAGGGCTACCTCAACAAGAAGGAGGTCATGAAGGCTGTCGGTGCCGAGGTCTCCGGCTACGAGTCTTGCAACTTCGACATTAACCGCAACTTCTTGCTCCAGGGTGACTGGATGAAGCCCTTCCACCGCGTTGTCCCTAGTATCCTCGCCGAGATCCCTGTCCTTATCTACGCCGGTGATGCTGATTACATCTGCAACTGGCTCGGTAACAAGGCCTGGACTGAGGCTCTTGAGTGGCCCGGTGCTAAGGACTACAACAAGGCCGAGATGAAGGACTTCAAGATTGACGGTGACGGCAAGACTGTTGGACAGGTCAAGTCCAGCGGTAACTTCACCTTCTTAAAGCTTCACGCTGGTGGCCACATGGTCCCCTACGACCAGCCCGAGGCTTCTCTCGAGATGCTCAACAGGTGGTTGGGCGGTGAGTTCTGGAAGTCATCCTAGGTGCTTCCACACGAAACAGTATTAGGATGAAATTGTTATGATTGGATGTAGATATATGGCGAGCGGAATAGTTCCCAATTCGCTTGTCGTTGTATTATACGAATTCGCATTTCGTAGTCATGTCCTTAATGGATGAAAGAAATAATCCAATTATGTGCTACTTTAATCCCAAGTTTCCGCCTTACAGCTAAGTCCATATAACACCCAGCAATGGAAATATGCTGCCCTATGGTCCATCGCTACTACCAGCACAACGTAATGCACAGACCTTGGTCGCAAACAATCCCAACTCCACTACTACACACTTCGCATACCATCATCTCTACTCTATCTACGGCCTGTGTGCTCGCAACACCCCTCAAACATTGCGGTTATCTGATATCAACGCTGTCGGTCTCTCCAGTGTTTCAATTTCGATACTTGTAGTACAACTTCATCTGAGGTAATGTACCGAACCGCATTGTACTAACCCCCTATGGGACTTGACGGTACGACCTCATCCAATGCTGGCCCGCACGGCTTGTAGTCGCTCGGCAGTTTTTTCTTTGTATACAAGTAGCCTAGGTCGAGAAATACAGGAGCTGTAGGAACTAACAAATTATCCCACTGAAAACGTGCAATACCCTACTTCTGAGAAGAGGGCGGCTCGGCTCAAGTCAAGGGGTCGCAGTGATTGAGCGCATGGTGGCGTTTTCGGGCACTTGCCAGCCGTAGAAGGCTGCAACAGAAAACCTCAGCTGGACAGATACTGGCAAAAAATAGCTAGACTAACGGCTGCCTCGTCAATTCAAGTCCAGCCGCACCTTGGCGCCGGCACATGATGAATCAAATAATGAACCTTGTTTACTCTGCTTTACAACCACTGGGTATTGAGAAATGATTTCCTAGTAACGAATAACACGAGAAATATTTGTTCTGTATCTCAAAGTCGATTTTGCACGTAACTCAAATGGACGTTGAACCGCTTCCCGCCTCAAGCGGCGACCGAGTCAGCTATCCGAGTCGAATTCGTCAGTGGATGGAAGTATGCAACTCATCACATGGCGATATCTGCGTCCCAAAGCCGATATCACAACAACCCCAAAACGACGGGCCTCAATGGCTCATCGATACCCACGACCAATGCATCGTGCCCGGAATCTCCGCGAATCATTACTTGGCTCTAAGCTATACCTGGCCAGAAACCCGCAACTCCTCTACACCGGCACCACGCAGTTTACTCCTTGACGCCGCGAGCATAGTAGACCTCCAAATACCTGGATGCTTTTCTAGCTCTGCTATCGTAGAGCTCCTACCGGGAGTGATCAAACACGCTATGAGCGTAACGGCTGCACTCGGCGAACGATATCTCTGGGTCGACCGACTTTGCATTGTGCAAAACGATGCGGGGACACTCGATCAAGTCACAAGGATGGATAAGATATACGCAGGAGCATATCTCACCATCATTGCTGCAGCACCGGATGCCATGTACCAAAGCGATCAATTGGCAGAATGGCCTCGTTTTGACATCTTGTTCAAACATTCAAATCCTTCTGGCCTCAGCGAAGTTCAAGTCATCCGTGCCATGGACTATCGATATCAGAATTTGAGAGCATCTCGGTGGGCGACAAGAGGGTGGACGTTCCAAGAGCAGATACTTTGCAAAAGGGCCGTTGTATTTACCGAGAAAGGAATCTTTTGGGATTGCCAGTGTTGCATGTGGGACGGCGCGGATCTTAAGCCAGGCCAGGACCATGAAACCATCTCAGTCTCCACGGACATGGGCAAGCGGTTTGTGACCCGATGGTGGCCCGATTTTAGCTTCTACGTCGATCTTATCTGTCCGTATAATGGCCGAGAGTTTTCCTATCCCCAAGATGCACTATTAGGCTTTTCGGGTGTCTTGAGCGCCTTGTCGCGATCGTTTCCTGGAAAATTTATATCGGGCGTACCGAGCATATTTCTCGACCATGTTCTGCTATGGCAGCCATTTGAGACTGCAGAGCGGCGCGTAGATCGAGGCAACTCATCAAGCACATCCGGAGGTGTGTCCAGCCTTCCATCGTGGGCATGGTGCGGATGGCAATGTTTTGTGGATCCAATGAGTCTTCGCTCTGGCCTAGCTTACATGAACGAGGATCAAATGCGAAATCGAGCCCGAAGCTGGCAAACACAAAACTTGATAGATTGGCGTGCGTCTAACAATCTAATACAGTCGGAATTGATGTCGGATCCGCCCTTTTTTGGTGAGCATGTTAAGCTCTCAGGTTCACCTGACACACTTCCAGAAGAGTGGCAATCCCACTACGAACTCGGTACGGAAGCTCCGAGTTATAGCCATGCAACAGATCGAAAGCTACTCTTCAGACACCCGATACCGCTATCACTCGATGCCTCACGGCAGCCCGAACTCTGCACAACCTCCTACCTAACCTTCGAAACCACCTCTGCCATGTTCCTCCCCGCCACCATCCTACGACCACTCAAGTCCCAGGAAATGGTTAGCTGGTGAGTTCCATGTACTAACTGCATGCGAGACATATACTGACCTCGTACTTACGAATCTGCCAGGGGCGACGTCAAAGTCTCCGTCTTTGAAGACCGCATGTTCGCCCTCGGCCCACGCGACAACAAAGTCCCCCCCGTCATTGTCCTCAAACAGCCAAACGGCATGTTCGCCGGCCTCCTCCGCCACATGAACAACGATCGCATCAATCCCAACCTCCCCGTCGAACTCGTCGCCATATCAACTGGCAGCGCTAATACGCTGGACCTTGAATTCTCACTTGAATGGAATGTCTTCGCCGACCTAGAACTCTATTACACATACGGCAATGTCTGTAAAATCATACCATTTGCCTCTCCGCCAATCACTGGGCAGCAGAAACGCGCGCTGCTATTCGATACGTCGATGGCGTTTGGCGAGGAAGCAGCAAAGGATGATAGTAACAGTGCTCTCGTCCCGGAACTCAGTGCTATAGAGAATGAAATCAACGATCAGGTAAAGTTGGAAATGGAAAGGCACGAAGAGAGGCTGGTAAAGCTTAATGCGACGCAAGAGTATCGGACGCGGTATGAGCAGAAGATTTGGTTCAATGTTCGGAGGAAGGTGCTTAGAGAGCGGAAGCAAGGGAAGAGTGTAGGGGATGGGGCACCCGGTGGTGCGGTGTGTCAGTTCTATAACGTTCTTTGGATTCAACGCAAGGATGGGGTTGCGTATAGGGTCGCGTGTGGGTGGGTGCCGAAGTATGTGTGGGAGGCGCATTCGAAGGGGCCTGTGAAGGTCGTGTTGGGTTGAGTGCTTTGTAAAATGCAGATAGAGAGAATAATGCATCACTAAATCCATAACCATGTGCTCACAACAAAGAGTCTTGTGATGATTTCTCATACGTTAAATTGTTTTGTAAGACAGTGCTGAAATCAACACATGCGTCTTGTTTCCCTTTTGTTGTCCAAATCTACCCATCGGCCAAATATGTACATTGCATAATCTAGCGCGAGAACACCGAAGTAGCAGCAAGATTTCCGCCCCAGTACAGATACACAAAGCAAGCACATTTGCGTCATGCAAACTGCTGCAAAACACCCCATTCCCCCAAAAAAATTGTCGAAGCAAACATGGTGGTGCGATGGCGACCAAGAAGCAACATGAAGAAAGAAAAGAAAAAAAAGAAGCCAGCGTCCAGGAACGTAATGAACGAGTGAAAAAAAGAAGATGAAGAAGGATATGTACGAAGAAAAAAGTCCAACAACAACCCATGCACAGAGAACCTAACCATACATATCACAAGTCATAGTCTTAATCTCATATTCGCTCTCGCCCTCAACAACACCACAGGAGACATCCCACCCAAGCTCAAACGTGTCGCTCTCAGGCATGCGGTCCTTGGCACCAGCAGCACAATTGGCATCGATAGTATAGTACGAAGTCTCCATAGCAGGCGCAGAGTTCCAGTCGCAGGCGTCGGTGCGCTTGTAAAAAGTGCGGCGGTGCAGACGGAGGGCCTTGCGCTCGATGCTCTTTTCGGGGGAGTCGCAGAAGCAGCGGGCGGCGAGGGTGAGGACGTCGCGGGTGCAGTCGCAGCGGGAGCCGTCGACTTGGTAGCGGCGCGTGTTGGGCTTGACTGCTGGGTGGGCGCGGCCCCAGTTTCGCGAGGAGGAGTCGGGAGCAGCGGTTTCGGCGGTTTCGGACTTGTAGATGGTGGTTGCGACTACGGTGGTTACGGTGACGACACCGCCGTTGTTATTGTTGCTGTTGTCGCCAGCGGGTTCCTTCTCGTAGCTGTCATCGTTGCTGGGTGGCTGAGTTGTCTCAGGCTGAGGTGTCTCCTTGGGTGAAGTGGCAGAGTATGCTGGCTCCTCAGGCTGAGATGCTGATTGGGAGGGCTTGCTGGGCTCAGTGCTGTTGCCTGATCCTCCACCGCCAATATGCACCTTGCTGCAGGACTCAAAGCTCTCATGCTCACGGTTCAGCCAGATCCAGACAAACAGAGCATCGCCCTCGGGCATGTTGGTAGGGACCTTGAAGTCGAAGGTCTGGGCCTCAGGTGAGCCATCTTCGGTAGCATGCGGGCAAGCACCGTGGTATGATGCAGCCAATTTCCAGCTCTTGCCCTTGTCCGTGGAAAATCCGACCTGGCAGGATCCACCATAGTGAGTACCACCGGGAGCAGCTTTGTCATAGTCGAAACTGGTAAGCTGGAAGTAGGCATCTTGACCAGACTGCCAGGTGACAGACGCCTTCTCGGTATCGAACTTGTCAAGGTGACCACGGCAGGGGCCTGGAGAAGGCCTGCTGTCACCTCCATCAGGGCCGCAGCATCCAAGTGGGAAGTTGAACTCGGGGTCGATTTCGGTTGACTGAGGGTTGATGGATGGCGCTCCACCTAGCGGGGGAGGGTAGTACAAGCTCATGTGAGCCTGGGCAGCGCCAACTAGGGCAAGCACAGACAGAATTTTCATATACATAATGTGTATAGAGCGTTTTTTTGTAGAGACTGTGGTTGTTATGAATGCAAGGAAGGACTGGAAGTTGCAAAGTAGAGTCAGAGCTGAAAGGACAGTGTAATGACGGTGCTGTTTCTGTGAAGAAGGTGTTTCTTGACAGCAACAAAGAAGCTCAAAGAAGAAAGGCGGTCCGGCGCTTTCGAACAAGAAAGTGAGTGAATGTAGAATGAATGTAGACAAAGACTAGCTTGTCACGAGTGAGTGTGTATCTATCACTGGGATTGATGCCCTCTTTCACAAGAGCAGGCAGCGAGCTTTTAAATCACCTCCTGACGACTGGACCATAGTTGTCGATGGGTCCCGTATAACACACCTTAGCACGCCCAGTCTCGGCGGCTGAAGAAGGGTTGTGCTCGCAGCATGCTAGTAGCCTCTGCCTAAGAGTGGAGCGTAGATGTAGTATACGGGCCCCTGACTTTGCGACGAGCCAATAGTGACAGCGAAACCAGGTAGTACATCGGCGGAAGTGGACCTGTTTGGGAAAGGCAGCGAGACGCGAGAGCCTGTGGGTCTCGAGTGAAGGACTCGCTGCCCGGGTCCGCGATGGAGGTTCTGCTGTTCGTGGCTGACGGAGTCCGCATCGTGTTTCACGCTCTCCCGTTTTTGGCGTAGCAGGGGCGCTTGTCCCTGGCGAAGGATCACTTCGTCAATTACCACGCCCAACGTTTTGCGCAATGATTAGCACGCGACCAGGAAGACTGACAGCAGATTCGTTTCATGAACAGACCGTTTACGTTTCTTCGGCTATAATACCAATGGTGTTTAGCCATGTGAGTGATATGGCGCCAGCGGCTGTCAGGCCTCTATCGATAACGCTCTTGTCGCTTACTCTCGCCACGTGCTTGTGATCGACCTGGCCTGTCCCGAACCTTTGACTTGGTTTTTACGTTATTTGTACTCCACTTCCTTTGAGCAAGTAACAATCACCGTCTGGTTAACCGCCCTCTCGTATTTCTTCTGCAGGACAATGTGTCTGTGAATAATCTAGTTGATGCCGTCAGCTGCACTACCTTCTGCAGGTGCTCCGTCCGGGTGTAGCCTATCGCCACTGCCAACGGCCTGGTGTCGTCGTTTGTGCAAGTTGCAGGCTGCAGGGGGTACCTGATGATCTCTTTCAAGCCATCCGTCCGAGACTAACAACTAGTCAGGGCCTCGTTACGCGGGGCTCGGATTTCGGCAACGTAGCGGCATCTGGAGGCGAAGTCCCGATACACGACCAAGAACGACCAAGAACACCCAAATGATCCTTTACCAAGCAGTGTGGACGTTGCACAGTAGCACTCGTGATACTGCTTACTCGGCTTTTGTAGCCGTACCCCTTTGACGTTACGTACTCTTTTGGAAAAAGTTGATACAGTAAGCTGAAGTATGCAGTCATGCATCAAAAGTCCAGCAGAAGTTGTTTTCCAACGCACATCCAAGTGCCCCTAGAATCACCATTCCCATCTCCAAGGCAATCTGTCGTGTCTCATGGGAATTACAGAGAAACAAAAATCCTACATTACGGATGCCCCCGCATACTCTAGATCAGCCAATCGGAGGCACAGACAGGGCACATACGTATTCACAATGAAGCGCGCGTGCGCATACTTACATACACCAAAGCCAGTCCCGTCGATCATTTTAACCGCCTCATGTTTCAGCCTAACCCAACGTCCTCTACCTATTGGAGGAAATGCTATCGATACGGAAACATATCGCGACCCGCCCAGTAAGAACGACAGGCAAAGCTACCTAAGATCACATCTTTTTTTTTCGCGGACGATCATGTCACTGTAGTCATTTAAGACCGGCTGTTTCGGATAGCAGTCATTGTCGTTTTTTGTAGTGCCCTTGAATTTGAATAAACGACCAGTAACATGTCGCCAACAGCACCACTTAGCATGCAACTCACTGCTGTAGTCAAACACTGTCTTCAGATTTCAGGGCTCATGCTGAGATGTAATAGTAGTATTAGTTCTCCTAGCCTCCCCCCTTCGCACAACCCCAAGAATATCTTTCCCCTTTTGAAAAAAGAACGACAGACTGTTGATGTAGAAGGCCAGACGCCAAATTTCTCTTTTCCTACACCCAAATCCATGAAGTGTCCATCCCCAAGCCTTTTACTCCCTCCTTCTACTTCACATGAATCGCCCGCTTCCCTTACCATTAAATATTATTGCTTCCCACATCCTTACTCTAATTGACATACATGACAGCAAGGTCCTTGGGAGCACAGCTCTGAGTGGCATTGCTGGCACACGGAACATCACACTGCGCCGCATCGACCTTAGTTCCCTATTTCTTAATGTGATTGCCACATTGGCAGATCTCGCCGGATACCGCATAGTACCTGTATCGATAACAGGTTTGCGCACAGTTCTCATGCCTGTTGTCCCGGTCGCGCTCAAGGAAAGCGAGATGATCAGCGAGGAGGACCTTCTTCTTGGGATCCTTGAAGCACCCGTTGAAGGTGAAGGGGTTGCAGGCACAGTTATATGCCGTGACGTTCTGACAGCCGAGCGGGGGCTCATTGCCTGCGTTTCTCTTTCTTGGTTAGCGGTGCATTGCACAAGCGTGGCTATTATCTGTTTGGCTTGCCGTGGCACTGATATTGACATACAGAAGTGTTGTACTAGCTGGGTGGATGTTTCGCGTCGGCGGCATAGACTGCAGTAAGCAGCCCAGAAGCAAGGACAATCAAAGGGGTCTTCATGGCGGTTGTAAAGGTGGCTTGGTTGGAAGGTTGGTGGGTGTAAAGGCTAGTGGTTGTAGTAGTTGGAAGAGTGTAAATCTCTGTGTGATGGATAAAACGTCTTCTAAAGCATGTAATTTTATATTGTCATGTTGATATTGGGCCCCTGCTTTCATGCTACAAAAACTGTATATGGGTTTCGGGCAATCTACCAGTGAATATTTGCAAATACATCTTCCATCTACTACGCTGTGTTGTGTATCCTGATGCAACCACAATTCGTTATGCTGCTGCCCCTATCACAACCTTAGTTCGCTGCCCTACTTCCTTTGCTGCAACCATAGTTGATGTAGTTACCTTATCCAATTGATTTATATTTAATTTCTAGTTGTTCAGGGTATATTCTGCTATTATTTCTGAGAAAAATAATCTGATACGCTGTAGGCTAAACTGATCCAAGGAATTAGAACCTTATTTCCATTGGCATGCAAGGCATTCGTCGCGACAATGAGGTTTCAAGACTTGCCAAAAGTGACCATGATTCCTCTTCCAAAATCTGGCTTCTGGATGGGTTTTCCTTTGGAAGGTTTTCTAACTGAAGACTCACCCTTAGTTTGAGAGAGTTTGGTTCCGATCGGAGTCGGGAAAAAGTTGAGTTCCGCTCGGTATCACGGTGGAAAACTAGTACCGGCCAAGGATCACTACCAATCGACTTTCCCGTTGCTTTTTCTTTTCTTTTCGGGGGCTGGGCTGTGGATTCGACCTGTTTCAGATCCATCTTCGCCGCTAGTGGACACGTCTGTGCCCACACCTTATCCCATGTTCCATTGTGGTAAAAATTCTTACCTCCAAGCGATGGCCATTACAAGAACATTTCTTCAGAATGAAGGACCAGAAGTTACTACTATCGTATGCATAAGCTGTATACCTTGAGAAGATATATCACGTAGCGCCATATCCACGTGCTACCAAAATCTTAGCCTCCGGGTACCAACCTCGTCCTTTCTTCCCAGTTCATCGCAACACCGGCCCTTACATACTACATGGCTAAAACGAGTAATCAAGCGCATCATCGAACCCAGCATCTGCAGAGAAGACCCGGAAGTTATATCAAAAAGCAATGTGTTTAGTTCCTACTAAACAGCATATTCTACATCACTCTTACCTCTACTACTCCCTTCAACCCTGTTGTAGACTACAGCAACAAGTACCATGGGTGCACTAAATCTTGGCTACATTTATCTTGTTTTTGTTGCATTGCCAAGGCATAATCTCTACCAGACATGACTCTAGAGATTTTTGCTTATGTGATGGGACGCGTGTTGTTGTTGCGGGGAGCAGTCATGATATAATTTGTCGGACTATTCTACGTATTGGTACTCAAACTCATTCGTTCGGTTCCCATTCCGTCTCCATAACATAATGTATGATCGACGCGAACAACGAGTAGACATACAAGTACAACAAACTTATTACTTTTAAGTTCAGTATTCATTTCCATATTAGGTATTGCTAAGAAGCGATCCATATTAATCACATGTACACGGATGAGGCTAGCCTAAGATACACAGAGGAGAGATGTAAAATTGAACCTTTTTTTTTTGGAAAGGGCTACGAGTAAAGCATCCTTATTCGACCAGAATCATGACTAAATACTAAGCACATTATTCTCACATTCCAATATTACTTCTTCAACAGCTTCTCCAGTTCCGCAGCTATTGCATCGCCAACTTCGCTTGTACTTGACTTGCCGCCGATATCGGCGGTTCGTACGCCATTGTCAATAGTGATTTTTGTTGCCTCGTCGATCTTTTGCGCAAGCTCCGGCAGACACAGGGAGTACTTGAACATCATGCTTATGGAAAGGACTGTCGCAATGGGGTTGACAATGCCCTTTCCAGCGATATCTGGTGCAGAACCTATATTTGTGTGAGCAGGCGCAGTGTTTACGGATACCGTCGGGACTTACCATGGATAGGCTCGTAGATGCCATTGAGCTTTGTCTTGCCATCAGGAATGCCGCCCAAGCTGGCACTTGGCAGAAGACCCAAACTGCCTGGGATAACGCTCGCCTCATCGCTAATAATGTCACCAAACAGATTGCTTGTGACAACAACACCGTTCAGCGCGCGGGGGTTCTTGATCATGAGCATAGCAGCGGAGTCGATGAGGTGGGTGCCCGACTTGAGGTGCGGGTATTCGTCCTTCATGATGCGCTCGAATGTTTTCCTCCATAATCTCGATGTCGCGAGCACATTGGCCTTGTCCAAACTCCACACAGGCACTGGTGGGTCTTCGACCGAGGCAAGGTTGCCAGCCAAACGTACAACGCGTTCAATTTCCTCGACGCTGTATGGCTCGGTATCCATTGCCTTGCCATCGCCCTCGTCTTCTTTCCTGTCACCAAAGTATATGCCACCAGTCAATTCACGGACGATGTTGAAGTTGACGCCCCGCACATTTTCGGCTTTGAGGGGTGAGGAGTCGACTAGCGAGTCGGAGGCGAAGAAGCAGGGTCGCAGATTCCCAAAGGTCCCAAGTTCTTTGCGGAGCTTGAGAATACCCTGTTCTGGGCGCACCTTGCCCGTGCCCCATTTCTACACCATTTATTAGATTGGGTCGCCCTTTTGATAGTACACAATTACGTACCGGTCCTCCGACGGCACCGAGAATGATGGCATCGGCATTCTTTGCGGCTGTGAGGGTCTCGTCGGTAAGAGGGTTGTTGTGCGCGTCTATCGAGCACTGTAGAACGTTATGATCGGTTCCCACTCCTACGTCATAGCTTCCAACTTACACCTCCAAACAGATGCTCCTGGAAGTTGAAGGTATTATCGGTATGCTTCTCAATGACCTTGAGAATTTTGATCGCTTCAGCGACAACCTAGAAATATCGGTGAGTAGACGCGGTGAGCATACGCGGATGCTGCTGTTACCTCAGGGCCGACACCATCACCTGGACGCGAATTAGTACTGTGATGCCCGACTTTCAACACTGCAATTTACCAGCGAGAACGACAATGTTGTGAGCAGGCATTTTTTCTATGCGCAATTGGTATGTTTTTTGAAAATGAGAAAATATGGCGCGCACAGGTTTAATGGCAGAGTCCGGAAGCTACCCCACGTATGAAGGTGAGCCCCGCCAGAAGCCGCAGCAACCCTCCGACGTCGGCCGCTACCCGCCGGATATCAGCTTACTGCCAGTAATCGCCCATGCTGAACTCTGTCCCCTCTTTCTGACACTTGAACGCATCGAATAATACTCCTGAGTGACTCGGGTTACGTACCCGTGCTGACGTTGTCATGATATTACTTATGTTAATTGTTATCGCAGTTGCTGCGGGGGTAAATCTGGATAATCAATGACCTTACGCGCCGGGTCCCAAAGTCCATCGTGACTTGGAAGACAGCCCAGTCTATCACAAGAGATGAAACAAACTCTGCATGTAACTACGAGCACAGACTTACATGCAAAGAGCCAATTGCACTCCTTGTTCAGCAGAATTCGACATCGAAGAATCGTAATTGCCGCGTACATGCTCGATCAATGCTCATCACTGAAGGCACTTGAGTAAGGGATTTCTCATATTGTAATACCTTTCTAGATAGCCGAAGCCATTAGCAATGGGCACCAAGATTTTCTATGTGTGTGGGTGTTTTGCCGTTCAAAGCAGGATTTTGCTTATTCGTAACTAGCAGAGGGTCTTCATGTCAAGTGTTACTGAGCGGGAGTCGATAAGGGCTTTATTCGTCTTCGACAGCAATTCCAGATTTTGAGCATGTTTGAACAGATTTTGCCATGGTAGAAGCAAAAGGGAGGATACGGGAAAGTATGGTTACATGGAAAGCAACCACAGGAGCCCGCACTCTGGGCTTGGCCGACCCCTTTGGCTGGTTGCAGAGCGAAATCATGACGGAAGGTCCCGGGGGCCTCTCTTTGCTTTATTACTACAAAACAAGACTAGACGTAATTGTTTGCTTGGTTATTTGCCCAGTTGTGCTTGTACACAAGCGGAACTGTGGAGCTGTCATGGGCCGAAGGCTGGTGAACCCTTGTGACCCCAGCCGTTCAAGTTCAACCCATCTCGTCTTTAGTGTTCAACGCCCTGGGGCTAACGTTGAATATGCACTGGGTTTTTGGTGCATAATTATGTTTCTGCCGCCAGACTTCTAGCCGCGCATGCTGTTGACCAAAAGCAATAGTCGTGGTGCGGCCCGAGTAGTTGCGTACATGGTGTGGATGGGCTAGAGCACATCCGGACCAGCAAACACATGCAACCGCCTGTGAATGGTTACGTATGGTGCTGGACAAGTGGGCAAGCTGGACAAAGGGTCTCGAGAAACCACCCCCTGAGAGACGGTGATGTGTTGTCGTCGACGGACAGAAGCTCGCGGATGTCAAGGAAGCGGGCTCATTATCAAGGTTTGAGGAGCCACCCAAGTCAGTCTAAGAGGGGATATTACATGTGATGAACATGTCAAACACTGGGCGTATGGTGCACTGTGGTATAGCAAGGCGTAGTGATGTGCATGCGGGATGGCGCCCCAGCTAACCAGTCCTGCGCAGCCTCTGGCGATCTCTCTCACCCGCACGCTACAAGTCCCGAGATGCTTCATTTCAAGCCGCACACTGTCCTGTCGATCCCCCGCCAAGTGTCTTGGACTTGCAGATCTAGAGATTGCGCCTCACATGCAGTGCGTGTTGGTTTACCCAACATGGACGCTCTTCATTCATTCTTGTCCCGACAAGCCTCCGCTCCGCTGGGCGCCGCGCAACATGGTTGCGTTGCTTTGGGTAGCCAAGCCTGGCGTAGCATGGTGATGCAATGTTTCGAGCACCATTGTGCATCGTGTGCTTTTGATCTGCAGCATGGTGGTTGGGTCTGGACAGAGGTGCTCCTTTGTGTCTGGGCTGGTCTTTCTCGGCATGTCTTGGGAGACTTCAACCATCCGCGTAGTGCGGAAGGCGCAATTACTTTTGAGTTCCCCATGGGCGGCCCATGATGCCCCGGATTGCTCCTGGATTGTACCCTTTGCAGCTCTGTCAGTTATATTAACTGTACATTCCCTCGCTCTGTGTATCGCCAGACGTTGACAGTCGACCACGGTTCCCACACAATGCCGGTTTCGCCCTCTGACTTGCGCGATTAAAACCTTTGCCGCTTCCAACCATCGTGGGGCGAACTACGGGTCACGCCTCAACATTGTGCATTTGCATTGTTGCATTATTCCCCAGCCTGCTTTATTCCTTCCTTACTTCATGAATCAACATCCGTCTGTCACTTCACGTCGCTACTCCAACAACAACACGATCGACACGCTCGTCCGGTAACGCACAACCAAAGCCCTCTGCGGCGAGCGTTCCCACCACCAACCCCCACGCCGACAAAGACCCGCACCTCTGCACCGCCGTCGCGCCTTTCACCATGGTCCTCTCTATCCGCTCCAGCGTGGACAGCATATCCAGTCGACTGAGTGGCGAGAAGCCCCTGCCTCGACCAACCTACTACTGCCAGATGAACCCCCAGGAGCAGGCAATATGGGCTATTATCGTAAGTAACACTTCTTGTCCCGTCATCTCTCTCTTCAAGAACGTTATGCTAACTGTTCCCAGGGCGAGGAAAAGTACGAATACATGCGCGACATCAAAGGCCGTGTACACAGGCACCGTCTCACCTATGTTGAGCGCGCTCAGCGCCAACGTGCATTCTACGACTCGCGTGTCGGCCATGCGATTGTCGGTGATGAGTGGATGCGAATGAAGCTCCCAACTCGCCGTGTCCGCTAGCACCCAGTCACACACGACGGACTGGCATGCTAAACTAGCGCGTCTCACCCATCATGTACCGGCACATGCCCGGCATATGTGTACACCTGTCTGCGACATCGCCATGGCAGTCTTTTGACGATTTTCTTTTTGTTTTGAGCGAGTGGCCATAATTTAGGATGACGCCAAGGTCTTTAGGTCACCGTCTCTATCGTGTTAGATTTACGACCTTGGCACGTGGGAAGATACCCGGCATGCAGAACGGAGTTTATATTTCCTTTGTCTCATTGTAGTCTTCATTTTGAAGTCTCTCTTCGCTTGCCCTTGGCTTGGAAGACATACGTATTAATACAAATGCGCATATTTCTCAATCAACGGTCCGCGTGATGTGAAGATGCTAAGACGCCCGTCTTAACAATGGCAGTGCAACGGGCAGACACAATCTAGTGATCAAGCCGTCTAGTAAAACCCAAAAGAAATATAATGGGTGAGAAGGTGAATGCAAGGGCAAATGGTGGTGTAGAGAGATGTGTAGACTGCCTGGACAAGGGGCCAGCGCCACCATCCGCAGTTCGGCTCCCCTTATTGGCTAGCTCGCCAACAAGGCATCGCTCCGCCCGCGGGCTGTGACCTCAGTCTCTGACCTTGTCACTCAGCACCAAAAGCGAATCGCCATCGAATTAAGTCATCATGTTCTGGCCATACCCATGAGGAAGTACGCCTTGCACAGTCACACCACCAAGCCTGAACCATGTCGGACGAAGAGGGATTGTTGGTCGTTGCAGCCGGGGGCGATCTCATCCTTGACATTGCCCAGGAAGAGGGAGGACAGCGTTTCTCGTACCGCGTCGACTCCAAGATCCTCCAGCAAAACTCGCGATACTTTGAGAATCTACTCAGTCACCGGTTTCATGAAGGCCAGCAGCTGATAAAGTCGCTTGAGGCCCTTAGATTGAGCGGGCACGAGAATATTGGCGATGCACCTGACAACGTGCTTCCTCACATATCCATTGTCAATGTCGGCCGAGTAGCAGTGGCCAAAGTCTCGTCCATCCGCAATTTGCTCGCAGACTTTCTCCGTGCCATTCATGGCCTAGACCTTGCCGTATCGAACCCTCCCGTCGCCAACCTGGCTAACCTCGCCGTCGTGGCCGATCGATTCGATGCCGTCGCGTGCCTTTCGAAATACGTGCAGAAGAAAAAGTACATGCAACTCCTTGACGCCAAGTCAAGAGGTAAACCAAATACATCACAAACAGAGGAGAGAATACGACAGAAGTTGTTAGTCGGTCTCCTCTTTGAGCACCCATCGTGGGTAACGCGATACTCGAAGCATTTGATCATACGGGACTCCATGCAATGGCAACCGGCTACAGAGGAGGATCATACAAAGGCGCTGTGGTGGGACATACCAAATGGCGTCGAGGACGAGCTCATTCAGCGGCGAGAGTACATTTTGGAAACGATCAACTCTCTGCAGTCGCACTTCCTCAAGTTGTATACTTCCGGAGAGCGACAATGCAAGCTTGGCTACGATACGTCGTTGCAGTGTGATTCCTTTCAACTTGGGGAAATGGTTCGCTTCTTTTTCAAGATTGATACCGTGCGTCTGCAAGGCAAGATTTACGACAATACGGAGCCAACGTACTATCTCGGAGACATTGATCGTCTTCTGTCGTCGCTTCGCCAATGCTCCAACTACCAAGTCGACAGCAACCATGCGCATTGCGGACTACGATCACGATTGCTTCCGCTTCTAGATCTTGTACAGAGCCATCTTAGTATGGATACTGGCAGTCCGGACGTTGGTATCTGCGCTGAGTGTTGGACCACTCGTCGAACTGAGTACGCCTGGCAATTAGCCAAGAGACCGGTGTTATGGGCTCACCCAAGATCTTTAACGGGTAACCGATTGCTTGCTAACGGAGGTGCACGAAAAGGACCCCAAATGACATCGAGTAGCTGCCTTACCAGGCACGTGGCGGTAAGGGATATGTTCATGGCCAGCGAGAGAGATTGGACTCCTAGAGACATACGTACATTAAAGGATTAGTGCATATTTGATGCCTGAATACCGGCCTCTTGAACCCTATGCATTTTGAAGACTAAACTATATACACGTATATGGCGTTCGTGAGCTAGTTAGCCCTTGTCTACGGTTGGTGAAATTCAGCCTTAGCTATAGTAGTACCTTTGTTGCGGAATTCGCCCGCACCATCAGGGTGCCTTCGGCCTTACACTCGCTCTCACCCCACACTTTCCCTTGTTATGGAGGGATGCGGACTTCGGATTAAAATCTGAGAAGCATCCTGCCTTAGGAACGCCTTGTTCCTTGGGGTACCAGATACGGAAGGTCGCTATTTTCTCAACATTTCGTAGACAGGGACTATCTACTCGGTACCACTAGTCTGGTTCAAAGGGTTTCCTATATCACTTTCCCATGGAATGGAATATGCATGTGCGCAAATATGCGAGGCTGTACCTCTGAACGATTAATCGTCGTGCGATGCGGGATCGAATAATGTCAAGTCAATTCCTCTCGGCTGTACAGGGGATGTGATTGGTCATGCGCTAGCAATGCGGCTGTGCGCGTTTGCGCCACTGCTAGAGTAGGCTGAGCAAAACTTGGGGCTATCTCTGTAAGAAGAAAATTCAAAGTACGCGTGATAGGCTTTGCTGAAAAAAAACGTCTGTCTCATTTGTTGAAACCAGCTATTGCGTGGCACAAAGAGGGACGCAGGCTTCCGCCGAGGCAGAGTGGCTATTGTTTGCAGTGATATAAAGAGATTATAATCAAACCATGGAACGAACACAAGTTCTTTATTCATCCAAGCACAAGGATCATATTTAGGAAACTGCAAACAATCTTACCTAATTTCTTTTAGACTATTGCCACGTTTGTTGGCCTAAGCTCAATGGCGTTTTCATTTCCTTCTCAGTACTGCAGACCTCCTACCAACTCTTCAGATCACCCTTCACCCCACCTGCAACCCCAATCACCTTTACAGCGAGGAAGTATGCTCGGAAAGGTCAAAAGGGCTTTTTCGACGCGCAAGTCGTCGACTTCGAGTAATGATCACTCAGCGCGGGGGACAGCGGTCACGGGTCAGACACTGAACAACACGCTTACAGCTGCACCGGTCAGCCCCAAGAGGGCTGGATCCCGTAACAGCGGCCTCGCACCATCACCTTCGTCTGCTAACCCATTTACTTCTCCATCGCCAGCTACAAGAAGGCCAGGTAAGATAACCAAATACACCGAGCTGGATATGTCGCTGCCATTTACCCCACTAGATACTGACAGATCACTAGGTAGCACAGCTATGAACGACTCAGGATCTAACAACGAAGCCCCGCCGGCCTATACACCAGGCCCAGCTCAAGATGCAAGCGCATTCCAGTCACCGTCTATAACAACAACTTCAGACTCTGACCCTTACGCTTTCCTCAAGAGCTTTGATACTGTTTTCTTGATTGACGATTCAGGATCCATGGCTGGCCGTTCATGGAGGGAGACGCAGGAAGCCCTTGCGACTATCACACCAATTTGTACAGCACACGACGAAGACGGCATCGACATCTACTTCTTGAACCATCCTGACTCGAGCCTCTACAAGAAAATCACCACTCCCAGCACTATTATCGAAATCTTCCAGACTGTTCGACCGCGCGGCGCCACCCCAACTGGCCAGCGCCTCCACAAGATCCTAAAACCCTATCTCCAGAGCTACGAACGGGACGACAAAACTAAGCCCATTAACATTATTGTCATCACTGATGGCGAGCCCTCTGACGATGTCGAGTCTACCATTATTCAGGCCGCCAAGAAGCTTGATAAGCTCGATGCACCTGCGTGGCAAGTCGGTATCCAGTTCTTCCAGGTGGGCCGGGAGCCTGGTGCGCGTGAACATCTCAAGCAGCTTGATGACGGGCTCGCCGAATTGGCCGAGGACGATAATCTCAGAGACATTGTGGACACCGTTCCTTTTAGTGGCGCAGAAGGCGAGTCACTGACTGCAGCGGGTATTCTCAAGGTGGTCATGGGTGCAGTTCACCGCAGGTTGGACAGAAACTCCAAGGATCTGCACAGGAAGTAAAGATTCTTCCAACTTCCCTTCCAAGCAGCTGCATGACTAGTACTGCAGGTGGTCGTGTAGACTTTGCGGGAAGCATATGTGGGGAGTGTCGTGTCTGCCTTGCAATAGTCAACACTGCGGGGTACCACGACCAGAATACATTGACAAATACGTTGTCCAGATATGAATCCTGGCGCTTATTGGGCGGGTCTTATTGCTGTCTCTATGGCGTTTATGGAGAAATACATGGGATTGTAGGTGTCTCCTTTTTGGGCTTCAGGTGCATACATATGATACCCCCTTTTTCTCTGCTGCACGGAACTACAAGCGACACAATTCGGGAGGCGGTCTGCTTGTTTTCAATTGTCATTATTAGATTGTTAGGCGTTTAGAATTCACGGGTTGAGAAAAGTTTCTCTATTTGATTAGCAGTTTGGTCAATTCATCCATCCATTCATGAGTGTTGGCATTGCTGCCTTGAACACAATTTTGAATTCTACACACACAGCTAATAGAAAAATTATAATGGTAACGTTATACCCCACTAGATGACAGCCCCTGTTGTTCACATCACTTCGCTTCGATGCCAGCCTGGACGCCTAAAACGGTCAAGCTAATTAACTGCCAGTCAGCCTTAGGATAATACCCCACCGCAAGGCAGACTTCGGAAGATACTCTCCGGGTAAAGCAAATAAGCACACCGCATACATCTTCTGTCTTGAGACAAGTACCATTTTTTGTGCATACTCGGGTCCGCACATGCAATTGCACCATAGTAGGTGTATTCATTACAACCATGCACTCAACACGACCGTTTAGGCAGTTGGAAATCACATCACAATGACCACTCCAACATGCACTTCCACACCCACATACTACCCAAGAAACTAGCACATTCACGCGCCCATCCCCTTCACTTTTTTTTTACACAAGCAATTTAATAGAGAGAACAGAAAAATCATAATTTCGTACACGCTAATAGAATCATAACATCATACGCCCTAATAAAAATCCTCCCACCGCGTAACCCTCTTGCTCCCCTCAGACTCTGCATCCGACTCCCTCTCCCTCTCCATCTCGCGCCCCTCCCTCTCCCACGTGTCCAGCTCCTCACGCCTCGGCTCCTCATCAACGCCATCGAACCTCTCCCCATTAAACTTCTTGTCCCAGTACGCAAAGTACATGGATGCCTGCTTGGGCCGCGGAAGCGCGGTGTCGCGCTGATCGTCGGGTTCAATGTTGAACGTCAAACTAGAGTACGTATAAGGGTTTTCAGTAGCTAAGAGCCTTCTATAATTTTCTTGATGTAGCTTCACTGGTTCGGTGATGTTGTAGATGGGGTTGTTGAAGGGGTCGCGGTATTGTGGGTGTTGTGAGGGGCTGCCAGTATAGGAGAGGATGGTGCTGGTTGTACTTAGGGTGGAGGAGTTGCGGTGGCGGGTGTGGCTTGGGTCTCGTTTTTTTATCCGTAGGGGCGCGGGATGTAGGGCTGTTACGCTGATGCTGTCGCTGGGGCTCAGTGAGTTGTTTGAGTGGTGGTGGTAGGATGAATAGAATGAGGACTTACAAGGTGAGGCTTGGTAGTTGTCTTGGTGGTATGCTGGGTGCGTGTCTTGTCGGTTGTATGATTTGGTAGAGATGTAGTCCTGCTTATCGCGCATATCGAAACCTAGGGGTTCTGCTGGGGAGAACTGCTCTACGCTGAAAGGGCGAGGGTTCGGACCTAATTTTGTGTCAACCTGCATATAGATTGAGTACTCAGCTTTTTTGTGATTGGAGGATGTATCTGAAGAGGAGTTCGCTGTTGTGCCAGAGAGCGTCTGATACAGAGTCTCCTTTTGGTGCCTTCGCTCGAGTATCAAAAACTTTAATCTCATACCAAGGTCACCGGCTTCGTAAAGGGTCTTCTCACCGCCACGAGTCTTCTTGATCCAGTATTTTACGAACCGTATACGCTTCGAGCCCGTCTCTGCCCAGTAAGGAGTATCAGGAGCGGCGTTGGGATTCGTCAGACTTTTTGTACTCAAGCGGCCGATCATGCCCGCAAAGAGAGCAGAGAGGACATCTTCATCAGAAGCAATACGCGCCATGATACAAGCTGGGCACTGATCGCGCTGATAGTGCCACTTGTCTCCACAGTAGATGGGCTCATGGCCAGGCGGCGCAGAAGCATCAATATTGAAATCCTGTCGCCACATTTGCAGCACAGGTTCCATTTGACGCACCTTCCACTCTTGGTCTGGGGTCAGAAGATTACACATGATCAGAGGGTAAAGAAACTGGCCGATCGCCCCTTCGAACTCGTGCTTCACCCATGCCCAGATGTCATTGATTAGATGTGCATCTAGACCTTTGTGGATGCAGCAGAGGTTTCCAGAAGTCCCGAAGAATAGAGGAGAGGAGCGTAAGCGACGAGGGAGATCTTGGATATCCAACTTGGTGAACTTTCGGTAGAGTGCCACTCTGCGCTCATAACGCTCCTCGGTGGGTGTCGGGACATCTCGCAGGATGCGCACCAAGCGTTTCATGTCAGTGCCGTGAAGACGGCGAGTCTCCATTCGACCCAAAAAGGAAACCATTTTGATCTTGTCTGGCACAGTGTCTTTGTAGAGATGTTACGTTGTGGGATGCGAGAAACAATAGGGGTTTGGAAAGGAGTGAACGGGTATATGACCCTTTCAAAATGACATGGTTAACGAGCAGCACGGTGAAGAGCTAGATGCATTGTGGGAAGTGTCAAGTTGGGTTTTAGTGTTCACGGCTCTTGGAACAGCGAGAGAGTGATACAATGTTGGGACATGGAAAAGTCCACAATGTGCAAACATGGTAGTGAATCTCAGAATTGGATCAGAAATCTGAGACTGAAAGTAGCTCCAGAGACATTAGCTGACGAGCCCAGAAAATAATACTGAATGAAATATGAGCATCCCAAGGTTACGCCCAGCGCCTACTCGTCAAGGAGACGGGCCAAAAAAAGTCAAAGACCAGAACACAGGCGGAAAGATTTAAAACAGTCAATGATAGGACTTAAATTCAATAGCGATCCAGCCATGCAATAAACGCCGTTCCAGAATCGTACAGTGCATAAGTGAAGGATGAAAAAGATAAAACCATATCCCAAATGGTACGCAAAGCAGCCCAAGGCCGAAGCTACCAGATAATACAAGAAAAAGAATCAAAAGAAGCGAACGTTTGTAACACTAAGACTAGACATTACCTATAGCAACCAGATGGTTCTTGTCTACAAATGAAACAAGTGGGTGCAATCAATGTGAGCTCTCCAACCCTAAAACATTGGCTCTCCTGCCATGCAGGTTTTGATTGACCTTGTTTGTCAAATCTTTAAAGTTTGTTCCCGCCGATGATGAAATGCTAGTCGCCTTTTTTCTTGAAATGCGGGGGGCTGAAGCTCCTTGTGGGAGCGAGGAGTCCTCCTGAGATGGGCTGGAGGTTGCTGCAGCAGTCGCCGGGACAGCAGTTGCCTCGTTCTCCTTCTCTTGGTCAAGCTTGTGCTGTGCCGTGATACGGGCACGCTCGTACTTCGCAGCCACGTCGCCCTTGTACATGGTGCCTCCGATGCGGTCCAAATAGACAAAGAATGGCTGTGAGAAGTTGGTTTTGATGCCCCAGCTCTGGTGGTGAATATCATGGTACGCGGCATTGTTGGGAAAGATCCAGTGGATAGGGTCGTAGGGGAATGCATAGCCGCCATGGTCGAGGACAGTCTTGATGGTTGAGCCGGTGAAGAACCACATGGATTGCCGCATAGTCAGGCCGGTGAGAAGGTAGCTGAGACCAGCGCCAAGGGTATCTAGCGCGAAACCTTCAATTGGGTGGTTGTACAGCGCGCCGTAAGCATATGGGACGTAGAGTCGGTGGTGACGTGAGTGGAAGGTGACTGTATATGTTAGCTAAGCACTGGGGAGTTCAAGAGCCGAGCATACCGTATAACCACTTATTCAGGTGCATTGCGCGATGCAGCATGTATTCCCATGCATCCATGATGACAATGGCAGCACTAAATTGGAACGCAGGGATGGCGTACCAGTAGGCGAAGCTAGCGACAGCCAGTTCCCAGGAAGCAAAGGCCGGGACCAGCGTCTGCTCTCCAGCGACGATTGCCGACTGTAGCAGCGCTGGGTACTTCCCTCCAGCAACGACCGAAGAGAGAACCGGCTGGGAAGAAGCAAGCTTTGAGGCCAGGGCGACTGGGTTAACGCCAACTGCTGACAAGACGTATGGAACTGCGCGCTGTGCAAGGCGGATCTTCTGGGCATACCAAACGACGTCATAATCGGCTTTTCCGGTAGTCGGGGCATCGTCGAACATGGAGAGGCTGAAGGATGCTATAATCTGAATGACCTGCTGGAGTATGACGTCGCGCAGGACTTCGTATCGCGAGACGTGATTGCGCTTCAGGACCTCTGCAGGCGTGTGCAGTCGGTATTGGGGAAACAGGTCGTATACATCAATGGCGTGGAATATCAAGGACACGAACCAGTAGCCGACAACGGGGAGGGCGGCTTGTATGAATTCGTCGGATGCCCATGATGTGAGAGGCTGTAGAGGCTGAAGTGTGTATTCAGGCAGCGGCGGTAGGTCGTAGGATGCAGTTAAGTTTGCGCTCGCCATGGTGCAACAATGGTGCTCCAGAGCAGCGAATTCTGGATTGCAATGTGTAGCTATGCAACGGGGACTGGGGGAGTGTAGAGTGCTCGTCGAGGGGCGCAGGGCAGGCTTGGGCGATGACGGGCGACAGCAAGAGCCCGGGAGCGGCGGAGCAAGGAGATTAGGGAGAAGGAGTGATGCAGCAGACGGATAAACGGCAGGTGCAGGTGGGAAGCAGGTGGGGATGAGCCAGTGGCTGAAATGGTCGGCGGCGGAGGGCTCGGAAAGGAGAGGCTGAGGTGGGCAGAGCGAGGCGAGGGAGAAAGTCGTGTGAGAGTGGTGCTGCGTGGGTGCTTGCCTGTGACAGGGAGAAGCACTGGCGCGACGTACGGGCGCATCATGACATTTCGCCTGCCCGGCCGGACCAAAAGTGCCTGAGAAACCAGGCCACCTCTACAGCCACAAAACGCCCTGTGCGCGCATACTCAGGGCCGCCACCCATTAGCCACGGTTAGCCACCCACTAGCCACAGGCCACTTCCGGCTAGACCACCCTCAAACCCAATTTTCGACCCCACCAAATTCTCTCTCACGCCCTTATAGTCCCGCGCTTCCTTTCCGCCCCGAGTGAAAGAAAGAATCCTCCAGCCCCCCGACCAGCCGACACTCTTTCTCCCACCCATCACCACATCTGCACATACACCACACCGCCAATATGATCATTTACAAGGTGCGTTGCTACTCCTGCCCGCACGCCGTTGCCCCTGCCCGCGCAACTACCCCGCCTTCCCTGTTGCGCTTCACCACAGCCTGCGCGGGCGGAAAAGCACATGGCCCCTAGTACCAGACATTCAGTATTGACACGCTTGCAGGACATCATCACCGGTGACGAGATCATCTCCGACTCGTACAACCTCAAGGAGATTGACGGCGTCGCCTACGAGGCCGACTGCTCCAAGATCACTGTCGGAGGCGAGACTTTCGGTGCGTGCTAGTGACACACAACGATACACTTACCTGGCCTAACAGCCCTGCAGACACTGGCGCCAATGCCTCCGCCGAGGAGCAGGAGGAGGGTGCCGAGGACTCGGCCGAGACCAAGATCGATGTCGTCTACTCTTTCCGCCTCAATGAGACGGGCTTCGACAAGAAGGGCTACCTCACATACCTCAAGGGTGCGCCATATGACCACAGTCCATCAGCATACAAATACTAACTATGATCAGGCTACATGAAGGCAGTCAAGGAGGCTCTCAAGGCCAAGGGCGCTGACGAGGCCGCCATCAAGGAGTTCGAGACTGGAGCCCAGTCTTTTGCCAAGAAGATCATTGCCAACTTCAAGGACTACGAGTTCTACACCGGCGAGTCCATGAACCCCGACGGCATGATCGTCCTCCTCAACTACCGCGAGGATGGTGTCACGCCCTTCGTTACTGTCTGGAAGCACGGTCTCGAGGAGATGAAGGTTTAAGCTTGAACGGCTCAAGGCGCGGGGTCGGTTCACGGTTCATTTTGAATTTCACGAATACCTATTGCATGGTTGGGATATCCGCCCGAAGGCGAAAAAACGACACGGCACCAATCTAGACGACTGTTATCGAGTCATATGTGACACATGTTATTCTTTCTTCCCGATTCACCCCACCACTTGCCTTGTGCCGCTACTGTACCCTGTCAATGCAGCGTTGGGTGGGCTTTTATGCACATCAAATACTAACCCCACTAATCTAGTCAATTCCAGATCCTTGCTTCTTGTCTGCATAAGCGAGATGGCCTTTGTTTGTTGCAGTGCGAAAACCTGGTTTTCTGTTTGCGTGAATGAGACTCCCGTGACACCGCGAGAACGCGCCGTGCACAGACCAGCATTCTCATCACTGCAACGATAGCCGCCCGGGCAAGGTATTCTCAGCCTTGGAGTGCTGCCTCGACCAACCTTACTGTCCAGCACACCCGAGACTCCTTTTTCTTAACATTTACATGTTTGCTTGTGTTTTGGTTGTTCCTTGAACTAGGTATTAGGCAAGTAGGACAGCTGTTGCCCCGCATGACGGATCATGCTAGGGCGAAGGGTCTTCCCGCACCCCCCTCGCTTCCAGGCACGCCGCCCCGCCCAGGAGATGTTATTGACGAGTTTGTACAATCCATCAACAAAAACTTCGACCTTGACATCCAACTTCGTGGTCACTATTCACCATCAAAATTAAACCGACATGACATACGTAATAAAGTCTACGAGCACATCAAGTTCCTGTCTTTTAAGAATAGAGAGGCTCTCTACCAGGCAATTCAGGACTTCGACTCCCTCGTTCAGTATCAACCACATGAAAAGCGACTGAGTCTTCTTCATAAGTTGCTGTCAATTGCAAAGACACGCAAACCGCCCTCAGGAAAGTAATGGAAACCCTATATGTATAACAAGTACTAACTTGCAGACAGAAGCAATCAACGCACTACAGCCACTCAATCCGCCATGTTTCAAACGTGGAGATGAGCGAGAGTCTCTTGAGTCATGTGAATCGTATAAGACCGCTCTAGATCCAGGATCTCCTACGGATGAAGACACCGACAATGAAATGAACCCAGGGCTTGAGGCACGATCTCCATCGCCTTCTCCGTCTTCTAGGCCAGCATATCCATTCCAGGCAAGTAAACCTGTCTCATTGCATGCAACAAGGAAACGGCCCTTGGAGAACTTCAGTCATTATGGAACCCCGTCAAAATTGACAAAAACCTCGAGAGGAGAGCAGGCTATCAACCCATCGCGTAATGCAGAGGATTCGTTCAAAATACCGACTGTCGACATAGCCCCTTCGCGTCGACCTAATCCTAATCCATCATCCGCAAACACGTCCTTCGACAATAACACTTTCTCATCACAGGAGACAGCCAATACCGCAGCGACTTCTTTCACATCGTATAATGGCGACACTGATGTTCATGGACAATACAGCCCAAGATTGAAGACGATAAATAGAAGGTGCTCCACCACATTAGGGTCCTGGGATGATAATAGTTCTATCCAAGCGGAAAAGCAATCTGCCATGTCGACCCAAAATGACAGGGTATGTGAGCACGACATCCAGATCGACCTCAATAGAAGCTTTTCTCAAGATAGCAACGGAAAAAGCAGATCTACCTTTGGCTCTGTAGATGACGAGAAATTTGCCAAGGTGGCAGCCAAAGTTGAAAACAAGCAAGATCGGTCAGATCCGGTTGCCTGCCTGGAACCCTCTGGGGTCGCCAGCAACCAAAAGCAACACGATTCATCAACGGATAAGATGCCATACGACATACGCGACATACCTAAGCAAAGTCTCTTCGTGGAAATGCTTCCTATGGAATTGGAAGATATTCCCTACTATGTGTTGTTCATCTGTCTGCGCATTGCGCTAGAATACTCTGTTCGATTGCGATCGATTACGGATGTTGTTGACGACCCAAACATCTTCACTGACCCACAAACATTTTGGCACTCCATTGATTGCCACTTTAAGAGCCTGGGCAGATCTATAGTCAAGTCACGCGACCCCAATCACCTCTGGCAAGCAGTAAATCGGGAGATGGATGGTTTTACCTTCAAGGGAAAACTCACTTTCAGTTCCAGACGAGCAGAATCAATCATGTGTCTCAAGCTACTACCGATACAAGAAGAAAAGTCCTGTCGACTGCAGCGAATGTTTGGTTCAGATCGGTTCCTCTATCTGGATTTACCTGAGTTTAATTCTTCCAAGATAGATGGCTTCACTAACGATGACATGGTGAAGATCAGAAAGAAGTGGCAAGAGTGGTTGCTCACAGAGCACTCTTTTTTGGGACGCAAATGGAGAGTGTTCCATGTTGACACTATAAAAAGGAAGCATAAGTCTCACCGTGAGGATATGCTTCACGACAAGAGGATCATTCTGTTTGCCACAGAAGGCGCCGGTATTGAGCAACCGTACACAGTGGGTGGAATGTTGAACAAATTCTTACCTGTTGATCTCAACAAAAACCAAAACTTCTGTAAGGCCTTTGCTCGCATTGATCTTGGGCTTTCCCGGACTACACCTACTTTGTGCTTTAGTACAGAGCAAATCCGGCATGTGGATGACAAAACGAGTACAGATGACCCAGAAGACACACAATTCAATGACACAACACTGGACTGGCCGCCTTTCCCAGATGGTACTGTGATGGATGATGGGTGTTGCGTCATGTCAGTGGGTGCGGCCAAAAAGATATGGGATCTGTACACCAAGGCTACGGGCGTTACCGATCCACTACCTAGTGCCTTTCAGGGGCGCATAGGGGGTGCTAAAGGAATTTGGGTAATTAGCGCAGAAAAATTCACCAAGGATACGGATCACTTGGAGCCCTGGATCGAGATCAACGAGAGTCAATGGAAATTCCAGCCACCAAACGACCAGTCTCCTTATCATCGTACTTTCGAGGTATCAAACTACAGCTCAACCCCATCTCCATCTGAGCTGCATTCATCATTCATTCCGATATTGGCTGATAGGGGTGTAACAAAGGAGGCGATATCTGATCTCATGCTTGACTCTCTTGAAAAAGAGCGCATAAACCTACTGAATGTTCTTCAAGACGCCACAAAGGTGCATGAGTGGGTATACCGAAATGGAGCAAATACAAAACTTCGCGAAGAAACCCATGGACGAGTTGGTCAACCTGCATCTCTCAAGGAAAAGGCTCTAAACCTACTGGAATCTGGCTTTGACCCTCTGAAGTTTCCGTATCTTGCTCAGAATCTCGAATCCTTCATCATGAGTAGACAGATATTTCAAGAGGCTAAACTACGTGTACTGCTTCCGAAATCAACATTCTTGTACGGAGTAGCAGATCCGTTGGGAGTATTGAATCCTGGAGAGATTCAGATACTGTTTTCTTGGCCATTCGTCGACGAGACCACCAACGAGAGATACTCGGACCTCAGGGACTTGGAGGTTTTGGTCGCCCGTCAGCCTGCTTGCCGCCGTTCTGATATCCAGAAGGTACGGACAGTCATACATCCCGAGCTTTCTCATTTGGTAGATGTAGCTGTCTTTTCCTCTAAAGGTCCTTTCCCCCTGGCTGGCAAACTGCAGGGAGGCGATTATGACGGCGACATATTCTGGATTTGTTGGGAGGATACACTTGTGCAGCCGTTCTTCAATGCTCCTGCACCAGTTCGGTCTCCTAATCCTTCCCTTTTTGGCATCAAAAAAATAACCGAGAAGCTCAAGGATATTGTAGACACTAAAAGACCCGACAATGTGGATACATTCTTGAAAAGAGCTTTCGAATTCCGTGATCATCCATCGCTGCTAGGTCTAGCAACGATTCTAGCAGAGAGACAGGCCTACAGCGAAAACTGCGTTCATTCCGGAACCCTTGAGAAGCTCTACGATGTACACGATCTCCTCGTCGATGCAAGTAAGCAAGGATACATCCTCACTCAGAATAAGTACAACAGCTCCGTAAAGACATTATGTGAGAATCCAAAAGATCCGGCCTATAAAAGGGCAGCTAAAGACTGCAAAAATACGAGGATATCGACAGATACTCCAAAATGTCGTGAGCATAAATATGGCTACAAATCAGACAACATACTGGACTATCTCTACTTCGATGTCGTGAGGGCACACAACGTTGAGACGATGAAGAAAGTCAAGGAGATACTTGGGAACGCTGCTGAACGGGATGAAGTCTTAATATATCCATGCCAATATCTTCACGACGAAAGAATAGCCGTGGTCAGGAAAGAGCTCAATTCTCTGAATAAGAAACTTGAACGCGTGTATGGTGGATGGAATGAAGTATGGAACAATACAAAACTTACGGGAGAGAATCGGAATGCATCAATCGAAGAATGCTACCAAAATTACCTAGCTATACAGCCTGACAATCCAGACGATCCTAATATCAGGCCATGGATGGCACCTTATCGTCGGCATGGGTCATGTCACTGGGACACGGTCAAAGCATCGGCACTGTATAGCAGATACCCGTGGCCCGAGAAATTGAGCTTTGTCTTCAGGATGGCCGGATATATGCTTTCAAAGCTCAAGGCTGAAAGCTTCGAAGGGACCAGATCCGTGGTACTGCCCATCCGCGCGAACCTCAAACCAAGACGTATCAAAACCCTGTCCTACGGCGATGAAGTGGATGATGTGGACGAAGACGACTACGACTTTGTTACTGCTCTCGAAGATCAATTCACAGATCTTGGTGACGGGTATTGAAAACAACGATACCATTCTCAATTATTCAACGGAACACGCGGTCATCTCGACGAGCGCAAGCGACGATCCAACATGCCATCGACGCTCGCGCTCCTAGCTATGGAGTCGGCCCCAGCGCCTCACTATGCCATTCATTACTACATCTTGAAAGATTGTGGTATCGTACATGTTGGAGAAGAAGATGATGATATAGGAGGGGAAAGGGGAAGAAAGGGAAAGGAAGAGTACAGGAAGACAAGAGAAAACACCTAAAAAACCGAGGGAATGCAAAAATCGTGGCTGGGTAGATCAGGATTTCCATTGCTACCATGTCATGTCATACGCTGCAAGTCATTCGTATCCATTGGCTCGGAACAGCAGATGTCTTGGGGTCGATCTCCAGTGTTTGAATACCTTGTTTACGACTTTCTTTTCTTTCTTCTAGCATGTGACCTAATTCCAAAGTATGCATATATTTTTTTTTCTTATGCAAAAAGCAATATACCAGTCCACTTCTACACTATCGTGATATCTCTACTTCTATTGAGCACATACACAAGTCCCTCTAGCCATCACGCCTCGTAGATCCGATTCCACAATATTGTACGATGAGTGGATATGTTCATATTTTCTTCTTCTTCTTTCTCTAGAATAATATGTGGGTATCATTAACAACAAACAAAAACTGCACGCACACGAGTTCCTTCCCCTGCTCAACCCACCGTATGCGCCGCCGCCGCCGCTACAGCCTTAATTTTTGCATTCCTCCTCTCCTCCTCTTTGCGCGCCTCAACACCAGCCAGGAACTCCATACGGCCCAGGTACGCCTCTTTAGTCTTACCATGGGTATCCAATTCCTCTGCAATTCCTTCTTTGTCGACGAAGCCCGTCCAGTCCATGCGCGACTTGTCGACGACGTTGAGTTTCTGGGTCTTCTCTGCTTTCTTGGGGAATGAGGGGTGTGCGTCTGCGTCTGCTTCTGCGCCGGTTTCTGGTTCTGGTCGAGCGGATGTGCGGGGCCATGAGAGTTGGAATTCTGGGGCGAGGGCGCGGACGTAGCCGGTTGGGTTAGGGTCGAAGCGGGAAGGGCGGCGGAGGGGGCGGCGAATTTTGGAGTCGGCTTGGTCGGAGGAGTGGGCAGGCGATTTTATGGCGGGTGTGGCTTCGGTTTGTTTCCAGCCGTCTTTGAGGTACTTGTCGAGTTGGGAGCGGGGTATTTGCTTCTCTTCGGTTGTGTCCTGGCCGGCAAAGGTGAAGGTTTTCTTGATGCTGAGCTGTTCCTCTTCCTCTGCAGATGCTTGGATGTTGATCACGGGCGTGTGCTGCGTTGGCGTATCGGATTTTTGCGTCTTAGACTCTTGTAGCGGTTTCAGAGGCGCTGCCATCATCTGAGCCCACAGCGCATCGACATCGACGGTCGCGCCCTCGGTTCTCGCGAGCGGCCTTGCCTCCTTGCCCTCTGTTCTTCTTTGTGCCCGCGTCTTGACCAGGCCGCCCTCCCCACCTTCATCGTCGGATATGATCAGCTCGGCATCGTCGTCTTTGTTACCCTTGCCCCCCTTCTTCTTCGACCGCTTCCGTCGCGCAGCTTGTATGGTGACTTCATCTCCAGAGTCCAGCTCCTCATTCTGAGGCGCTTTTCGCTTGCCTTTGCGCTGTGTGGGTTCTATGGTGACATGATCTTCGTCCTCAGAGCTCGATGCGTCTTCGGCTGGGGCGGCATTGGGGTCAAAGTCTTCGTCGGATGACTCGTGATACTTGTTTGAGGCGACTTCGAGGTCCTCGTCACCGTATGTGTGAGGCATGGTGGATGCAAAGTTGGTGCCTTTGGAGTTGAGAGATCGCGTCGCGCATGTGCTAAAACGAAGATGGCGGCCCGTGCCAGATCGACGTCTAGGGCTTTCTTGGGTCTAGCGTGAGACAGGGATTCCCAGGTTGATGTGCAGTGACGTGAGCGGGGAATTGTGGTCGCGTCGCAGTTCAAAACAAGAGAGAGCTGCTTGAGGCTGAGTTAGCTTGCTTTGTTGTTCTCCATTCCTACTATTGTCACGTTCGCATCATGCTCCTTGATCTCAGTATCTAACCTTCGCATAACTTCGCACAGCAATCATGGCGCCAGTCGAAACTGACGCTGCCACGAGGAGCAACTCACTCCCCATTGCACTCTTCGGCGGGCAGGTCTTGCTCGTTACAGTCCTCACGGCTCGTGTTCTGCTCACTACTCGACGCGCTGCCAGATCACAACCGCCATCAACCCACACGCGCTCCCAAGACCCCGCGCGCCGACGTCATGCCTTTGTCTTCTCCACCATTGCGCTCATATCACTGCTCTCAGTGGGGAGCTTCGCCTTCCTTTGGCGCGCCATCTCCTACGTACGATGGGCTGAGCACAACAAGCAGGAGATCCCAGGGAGCTTATGGAGTGGTTGGTATGGCACTAGTGAGCTAGGGCAATGGCATCTGGGCGATTGGATTGCCGATATAGATCTTGTGCGCGAATTCGATGCTGTAGGAATCATGAAGCCCGAGGGATTTCTCTACACCAGTCAATACTTTGTGGGGCTGATAGCAAGCTCCATCTTTATGGGTGCCGAAGGTACGTAGAACACCATCAGCAATTCCGTACATGCGATTTCTCGAGAGTGTTTCGCTGACTTGATTAATTCTAGGGCGCAGGCGCAATCTCTCCAATACCACTATTGCGTCTTTCGTGCTACTGAGCTCCATTGGAAGCCTGGGGTATTCCTTGAGCCTGTTCTTCATCACCATCTTGTACACACCTCTAACTCTGCAGCGGGGGGACTCGCCGCGACATGACACGCTCTTCACACCATACGCCTTCGTTTACGACATGGGTATTGTCGCGTCACTCGTCACACTCAACCTGTTCCCACAGCTGGTGTCTGAGTTTGGCGACAAAAGCATGATGCGAGTAGGCTATCTGGCCATGCCTCTTGCTTTCGCCTTTGCACCACAGGTATGTAGCGCAATTCTGGTATAGCATTCTCATCTGACAAGGGTTCAGATTATTCCCTACTCACTTGGTCATCAACATGTATCCAAGGCAGCAGCCCATCGCTCTTATGCCAAGGTCTTTTACGCATTGTCGCTGGCTTCTATCCTGGTGTACTGGCGGATCTGGGCGACTCTGCTCTACGTGAACCGGCCCTCTTCGCGGTCTCATGTCTTGGACCTGTTTGCACATTCGTTTGGAAGGAGCGATTCGCCTCATGCAAACAAGCTTCTGGCAACTATAAGCAATGCCGGTCAGAAACTCAAACATATCAGCACACATCCTGCTATCAGTGTCACAAGTCTTGATGTGTTCTTTACAACCATCAGCCTGCTCACATGGACTTTTACTAGAGACTTGGACGTTCATTCGATACTAGAAAGTAGCGTGCTCTCCTTCCTGGTACCAAGCCAGGAAAAACACGTTACTTTCAAAAAGGAACTGGCAAGAGTCATGGAACACGTCGAGGAGCCACCGCCAGCTCTCGACACGACTACGCCTAAGAAGCGTGGGCGCCCTTCAAAGAAGGTGAATGGCTCGTCTAGCGCAGCGCAGCCAGCTTCTGCAAGTGGACCTGTCAGGCGGAGCACCAGAGGAAAAGTATACAGCCACGAATCTGACGCGGATGTATTGGAAGACGAGCAGGATGCTACCTATCAGCCAAGCGAAGAGACGAAACGAGAAGTCGAGGCCATGGAATCAGATGGGTCATTGTCAGACGGTGATGTGGTGTCTGCTGGAGAATCGACTGCGCTGGCCCTGTTCCTTGCTTTCTTTGGTGGACTTGGACAGGTGGCGGCTGGCACTTTAGGCGCCGAAGTGACTGGCCCGCGGGACTGAAGGGACCAAAAGGAGCTTGTACAGGATATGTGATGGTGAGTATAATTCCAGGTACTATGTGGCGTTTGAATGGAGTCTAAATCAGGGGTACGGCTGGATGCAGGTGTATGTGTATTCGGTGTATGGAGATTGAAAGATAACTGCGTTTGGCTTTCTGGCTTGATACCCCGGCAATTGGGACCGGAGCGTCGGATGCATTTGATATTGCTTTCTTAGTCTTAGCAATGCAATACCAGTCAGATATGGATATATGTGCATTGAAAATCAGATTTGGGTGTGACTAGGATATGTTTGTGTGGTCTGATTGGTATTTCTTTTTCTTTTCTTTTATTTCTTTTCGGCTTGGGCTCCCATGACTACGTGTAGTACACAGGACTGTCAGCTACGAGTACTTAGCATGAAAGAAAAGCGAAACCCCTGGAACGGCGCCCAAGAAGTGCTTGCGCAGCGCAGTGACGTTGCTACGGGAGTGGATATATAGTTATCCGCGACAAGAACGTCAATCCTGGTCTGCCATGGGATACTCCCGTCAGCTCTGACTCATGCCAGGCTGCCCTGTCGATATGATTGCCTTCACCGCTCCAAGGGCCTGGACTGCGTTGCTTAGCCATGAATCCTCGAGGCGTCGGCTAGAGAGGAAAGTGTGGTTGATGTTGGAGGCGACAGAGAGCGGTGCCTGAAGATCTTGCTGCTTTGAGCCAAGATGGGAGAGCGCAACGACGTAAACGCGACCCAACCGTTGCGTCGCAGTGACACTTGACCTCATCCTGCGATAATTTTTTCTTCCTCGAAGGCGTTGGAGTCAGGCCACTGCGGCTGCGTATCAGCAATCTTGACTTATTTCCGATTCGGCATCGACTCGTGTGCCAGGAAGAGGTTCTAGGGCCGGCTTCCGCTGAGAACGCATCCCTACCAACCCGGCGTTTTCGGCTTCGAGCCACCAACGAAGGGCGTTTCCGAGTCGAATTACACCTGCATAAGACCTGTTTGGGTGGCAGAGTGAAACAGGGTAGTGTTGGAAGAGAGGTCTTGGATCCTCTGCGCGCATCTGGCCCGAGGCTGGTAATCAGGTCGGGCTCCGAGCCAACAGCCAGGGTAAAGGAAGGGTATCGCGAGGCTAGGGCCTAACGACCACCTCCACCGTGCGCACCGCAGAGACGCTACACTACCACTGTATAACCATGGAGGTAAGCCCATCTCTCTTCTCCCGCTCCGCACTCTCCCCACATGGTCCATTGTCGTCTCCCTCTTCAGCTAGCTCCCGTCTAAGCCACGTGTGTCGCGTCGCGAGTCTCCCACAGCCCTATATACTCGTTTGCACCATGGCCTGAGCTCCCCTTTTGTACCCTCGGCCCACTGTCAATTGCCTTGGGTGTGTCACTCTTGTAGAACATCGCAGCCGCTCCTGATTGACCCGTCGCTTTGTCTTCAGCCTCGCCATCCCTACGAGCCGGACGCCCTCGTGGCTTCCCTCATCGGCCTGCATATCACGCCTGTCCGAGTGTGGCTACCATCTCCCAAAGTACCACGCTTCACCGCGCAAATGTCGGTCCGTTGAGGTCAAGACAGAAGGCGCGGCTTTGTAATCTTTGGTTCTGTGTTTTTTCTTCCTTCGGCGCGGCGCTTCCTTTACTCACGATACCCGTTTCTTTGCGCAACTTGTCTTTTTCTTAGCCATATACCCTGTACAACCACCATTGCCACCACCATCCCATACACTAGAATGGAGAGCCGCTATCTCTCCCAGCAGCGCTCAGCAGCTGTCGATGCAGCGCGCAACATCACCCGCGAGAATGCCCAAGAAAAAGCACAAACATCAGCCAGCTCATCACTTCTCAAGCCAAGTGCACAGTTAACCATGGACCGCTTTCTACAGGACTTGCCGAATGCCGAACAACCGCCGGTTGACTTTTCGCCTCAGTACCACACGGGCCGCGTGCCAAACAGCAAGGCCGGAGATGGCAAACCACGGCTGCTCCTCATGGGTCAGCGAAGGTGAGTTTTAGCAAAGGTTATGTGGCTCTAACGCTAATCATGTCACAGGAGTGGAAAGTCGTCGATATCAAGTGTCGTCTTCCACAAGTTGCCGCCGAGCGAAACCCTGTATCTAGAGACTACCTACAGGATCAAGAAGGAGTCTATGCAGTAAGCCACACCTAAAGTACATGTCTTCTTATACTAAACAAACACAACAGCTCGTTCATGGACTTTCAAGTATGGGATCTCCCCGGCCACCTAGACTACTTTGACCCAGCCTTCGATACCGACAATATCTTTGAGGAAATCGGAGCGCTTATATGGGTCATCGACGCACAGGACGAATATCTCGATGCTATTGCCAGGCTCAACATGACCATTCTCAACCTGCAGCAATCATACCCCAACATCAACGTAGAAGTCTTTGTCCACAAAGTCGACGGTTTGTCAGATGACTTCCGCGGTGACACTTTCCGTGACATCATTCAACGAGTTCAAGACGAACTTTCAGATCACGGCTATGAGCAAGCGCCCATATCCTTTTATCAGACGTCCATCTACGACCAGTCCATCTTCGAGGCCTTTAGTAAAGTCATCCAAAAACTCATTCCGCAACTGCCTACACTCGAGGCATTGCTCAACAACCTGTGTGGGGCTTGCAACATTGAGAAAGCATATCTCTTCGACATTATGAGCAAAATATACATTGCAACTGATACGAGCCCAACCGATATCGGCAGCTATGAGATCTGTTCCGACTACATCGACGTTGTCATTGATGTCAGTGAGATTTATGGTTGGGATCGGCCTGACGACGGAGATAATGAAAGTGAGATGGGCAACAACGATGCAGAGAGCTTGATCACCATGGAGAAGAAGAACAGCAGGTATCTTTACTTGCGTGAGATTAACAAGTATGTCAATCAAGATATGTGACTAGTTGAGAGGTGGGCGCTAACTGCTGACAGGTACCTCGCATTGGTGTGTATCATGGGCCAGGACAATCCGGCAGAGAAAAAGGCTCTCATCGACTACAACGTCGGAGTCTTCCAGGCGGGTCTCAAACAGGTTTTCCCAAAGAGTGACAGAGAGGCCCAAGTCGAAATCCGCAACATTCACGACTCCTTAGATCAATGATTCGAACGTTGCTACTTGAACACGAAAAGAAAGACATTGCATAGTTGCTGTAAATATTTGATGCGACTAATCGCTGCCATAATTGAGCGTTTGGCAGGACACTCTCTTACACCAAAAAAACATAATATATAAACTTGTAGTTATGATAAAAGAAAAGGAAATTGAAAAAGGCTGTCAATGCAAGATTGGTGCTCAGAGTTTTCAACACAGGATTTTTTTGTATCGATTATAGTATGCCTGGAAAGGTGAAGTTCAATGCGTAATTAATTTCTTCATGCACCGAATTCTAGAATTTCTGCGGGCTCAAGCGAAAGTGCAGTGGCCAGATGACATCAACCGGGATTCCGGGACGAGGGGCCCAATCATCGGAACGGGGATGCGCGTTACTTCCGACGTACAAGACGCGAGGAGCAATCTATTTCTCCGCATTCCGCGCGCGCATTGCATTGTCTCTCTTGGCTTTTGGACACGTCTTTAGATAATTTCACCTAGGAGGTTTGTTGTTTTGAGGGTAGTAAGCTCGTGTAGTTGAGTTCATTTGCTATTGTGCAGTGCTACTCTTGAGCTGCAGGCCGGTTGTGAACGGGTATACAGTCCCTCTCTGCGTTTTGCCTTTCTTTGATTGCTGATCTCAAGACACTATAGAAACTACCGGCAGACTTCAGGTTGTGTAGTTGGCACCATCGTACCTATCCTATTCGACTCTGCGTTGCACAACCACACTCTCGCGACTCCTACATTACCACCAATACTACCGACATAATGTCATCATCGGCACGATATCGTCGTCCTGCAAAGGATAATGCGCCCACGGATGCGACGAACTCGGCTGGAGTCCCGGATCTTGCGGCTGCAAAGGAGAAGGCTGAGCTCAAGCAGGCGGTCAAAGAGCAGGCCGAGGCAACGTCAGATGGCCTGTCAGTACTAGACGTACTGCGTATACTGGGCGGACTGGTACTATTGAGCTGTGGACTGAGCTATCTGAGTACCAGCGGAGAAAGCATGACATGGGGCTACAACCCATGGTGGACACGAGCGCGAGAATGGAAGAGTCTAATTGTACTTCACCCCCATGTCCACATCTCGGCGGCACATGTGTAGAAAGTTCATACTGACCACTTATCACAGCAAGGCGAAGTCGTCCTCACCGACAACGAACTCGCACTATACGACGGCTCCGATCCCAAGAAACCCATCTACCTCGCCATCAACGGCACAATCTACGACGTCTCCATCTCGCCCACCACCTACGGCCCCGGCGGCTCATACCACTTTTTCGCCGGCAAAGACGCCGCCCGCGCTTTCCTAACTGGCTGCTTCGCCGAAGATTCAGTCCCGGATCTACGCGGTGTAGAGCAAATGTACATGCCCGTTGACCCCGAGGAAAAGGCCTCTCTCACCCCCGAGGAACGCGCCGCTGCAATGGAGAAAGCACGCCACAGGAAGAAGCTCAGCAGTGGCGAGCTGAAGAATCGACACGCGCAGGAACTCAAGAGTGCGAAGAAACAGGTTGTCGATGGCTTGGAGGGCTGGCATAAGCTGTTTAGGGGTGATAAGGGGAAGCCGTATCGTCGTGTGGGGTATGTGAAGAGGGAGAATGATTGGCTGGAGAAGATGCCTAAGAGGGGGTTGTGTGAGCAGGCTGAGAAGGGGAGGCCGGTTCGGAAGTATGATTAGAGTATGAAGGGTAGAGAAAAAGGGGGTTAAGAAAGGCAGGTTGAACATGGGGAGTAGAGTGTATGGTGCATTGCAAAGTAAATGTTTAGTGTCCGCCGAAATCTCGATTTTGTACTCAAACAGGATAATTACCTTTTTTTGTTCAAATAAAAATCGACATGTACTGTGACTATTCTGTTAGTACGAAAGATCTGAGGTACTATCGTGATAGAACCTTTTAACTTCACTTTCATCTAATACCTATCCTGGTAGAGCAGAAATAAATAAAGGCAACAATGCCGATATCTGAATGGGTGTATCTCAACCTTTGCATATAGTTGGTTTATTCTATATCCCTCTACTCCGCTACATCTCTGCAACTAAGTCAACATCAGTAGCTTTTCCATAGGTATGAGTTACGAATTCAAGGGCACAACTGAGCGTTGAACATTGGTTTTCAATTAGCGTATATCTCTTCTACATCTATTTCTGATTTACCATGCGTTTTTCCATTTATTCAATATAGAGCAGCGGTGGATATGGCATCAAGGGTATAGTAGTAAGAATGATGTTTTGGGAATCCGTGATTGCTAGAGTGTTTCAGTCGTGTTGAACTTGTTTCATTTTCGTAATGCAAGACACTTTTACAATCTAATGGTACATATTGATTACAATTTCCCCTCATTTCATCAACAGAAGCACCAGCTTCACTTGAATAACCCCAGCATCGGTGGTTTAGTGGTAAAATTAGCCGTTGCCATCCATCTGTTCTTCACAGTTCAGATTGGACAACGTCGGCTAGCCCCGGGTTCGATTCCCGGCCGATGCAATTAATTTTCTTTTTTTGCTAGCTTTTTGCCATGTGGCACACAGGTCATGTTGTGTGCATTGTTCGAAACTAAACATTTTTGTTTTTGGTTAGGATTCGGTTAATGTTGGTGGGGCGGGGGGACAGTCACGTGGCACCACTTGATATCGATGGTATCACTAATGTCCATCCCTAAGACACGCAAATCCTGCCGTGCCGCAATAATTGTACTAATTCGACGTCTTCAATGTTTCTACATTGTTTGCATCGCTCTAATATCTCGAACAGTCATTCGACAATGTCTTCTTTGTAGCATTAGGGCCTACAGTCAAAAAAAATACAGGCTGTTGAACCATGCTGTCGCTCGTGCTTTCTCACCCACTGGAGGCTGCATTAGCTTTCTACCCCTGTCTCTACACTATGGGTAGATGAATTTCACATATCGGGATATGAAATTGGTAGGCAATAATCGAAAAAAATGTATCTCGAGAGTCTTAGAAGTACATACTCAATAATGATTAAGTACATCCCGGATTTATCCGCGAACAAGACTTACTCTTATGTCTCAGCAGCTGATTTTAGCGCGCTTATGTCAAGCCTTAGCATACCGTATCTTACGTATGTTCTCGGACTAGCTTAATAGTATCAAAGTGTGGCGCACGCTTCTCGAAGCATTTACGCTAGTCACGTGCGTCCTATCTTTGGTACAATCGGGTTCCTTTGTTTAGTCCAGAAGTGCAGTTAGAGCTATGCTGTATGTTATGCTAGCCTAAATGGCAGCATTTGTTGCATTACAGCAAACATAGAACCGATTCAGCAAAGCGCTAGCGCAAACCACCCCTATAGACATGCTTGCAGACTAGACTTCTCCCATAGGGACGGAAAAAGAGATTCCCTACTATACCCGATATTACCGGAAACGGGGACAACCTTCGATGAAGGATAAGGCCTAAAGCCAGCAATATCTTACCCCACCTAAGGAGAAAGCTCTTATTGCTTTTATATTATGAATGAGCGTAGTTAGCACTCCCATGCGTGTTGAGTACATACCTAGACTTACTTTTTGCATCGCCCGTCAACGTGCCACGAAACAACCATCCGAGCCACCGAAAAAGAATTAACCTCAAGCCTTTCGTCGCCGCCACCTAGAGATTAAATCGAGGATCAATAAGCATATGCCACGGGAGCGTCACGACAATAACATATATGAAAAAGCGGTACATTAGTTCGATGTGATCAAGGAGGAACTCCATAGGTCCAATGTGTTACCAGAAGTTAGCCTCTCTTTATCTAGTAGTCTTCTAGAGGCTATACCTTAGTAGGATCCTAAGTTACATAATTACTCTCTGGCAGGATTCTCAGTGGTTTCCCAACTATCTATCGTCATTGCTGGTGGAGAGACCCTTCCTGTTGTTACTTGTAACAGCACTGCCTCGTGGCGTTGGCATAGCCCTGGCATAAGTGGACAGCTCGCTAGGGTAATCAGCTCGCATGTGGGGCACGCTAGTCATCATACACTAATTTGGGATGAGCACTAACCAATGAAAGATAGTATGGTTGCCTGAGCTTTACTGCTACGGTGCGCATCCTCATTCATGTCTTGACGTACTTAGCTGCTATGTGGCCGGCAGCGTCTCGGCGCTGTTTAGCTACCTATTTCACGAACACTTAATTCACACCAGCATAAATCATGCGAAGCGTTACGTCAAGGACTTCGGGTGCCTACAGAGATCGTTCCATTAATGATGTCTCCCACTGGACGTACAGATTGCGCCTCGAAGGATGGAAGACTAGTGTTTTCATTTTCGCAATCTGCGCTTCCTCCGTCTTCTCCATCAATCTGGCTTTCACTATCTGGAGCTCGGTCACTTGGCACACAAACATGGGAAACTTGTACGAAGGAGATTGTGACCGTGTAAAGGCGCTCAACTCTGCTGTGCACGTGCTTATCAACATTCTGAGTACAATCCTCTTCACTGCAAGCAATTACTGTATGCAGTGTCTGTCTGCACCAACTAGATCTGCAGTGGACAAGGCACATATGCAGAGTGAATGGCTTGACATCGGGATCTCAAGCATGCGCAACCTGAGGCACATCAAGCGGCAAGATCTAATCCTTTGGCTGCTTCTAGCACTCACGTCACTTCCTCTCCACTTACTGTGCGTTTCCACATCGATTAAAGCAACTTTCACTGGCGCTGATGCTAAATAGCTATAATTCCGCTGTCTATGCGTCGATATCATCCAACAGCTATTTTGCGTTTTCAGTAAGCGAATCTTTCGTGAACAGTGCCGAGTGTATCAATTGTGCGACCCAGCCCAACCTTTACACGAACTGGACAAAGGGTCTTGTCTACGATGGATACCCCAACGGTGAATTTCCAGAAATATTGAACAGTCTATGGTCTCGCGCGCAAAACGACTCCCTGGTCAGGCTCGAGCCTGCTGAATGTATCGATGAGTACGCTACCGCGATTCAGTCATTTAGACGGAATATACTTCTGGTTGGTCGCGACGAGGATTTCCCACCCCGGCACGAAAACACCTTCATTAACGATTCATATGTTTACGATGCTGTCGCATTCGCGTCTATCTACGCAAAGAACCCAGAACAGTCTGCAGACGCGTATCAATGGATATGCTCGGGTTTACCCCCTAGAGAAAACAACGATCACTGTACGGACCGGATATCAGAAATTCGGTCGAATGCGTCTGCATGGAGGGTCGGCGGCGACGACTGCTGGTCAGTTCAAGATCCCAACAACCAGCACATATGGACGAGCGGATGCTCGGATTTTTCAGACACCAAGAAACACCCTGTATCTTTCTGCCTAAGTGAACGAGCACCGCCACACTGCAAGATCCGACTCAACTCCACTATCTTGGTGATCGTCACTGTCGTCAACTTCCTGAAGGCTATCCTGATGTTCTACATCGTCTTCAAGCCGTTCGACGAGCCGCTCCTCACCATGGGAGATGCAGTGGCATCATTCCTAGACGACCCGGACCCAAGCACTCGCGATATGTGCTTGTTGTCCATACATGATATCAGGTATGGGCATTTTCGCGCCGGTGCCAGGTGTTGGTTGGCGCCGAAGGCATCATGGATGGATGCGATAAGTAAGACCCGTCGCGCTATAACCGTTATGATGTATGTCGTTGCAATAGCAGTGTCTTTATCTCTCTTATGGTTCAGCATATACAAAATTCCGAGAGGTACGTCTGTTTCGCTTGTCGACCTCGGCTTCGGCGCCGTCGACCCACGCACCATGATCATCGGCGCTCTGGGAAACAGAAATCTGATTGCGAATACTCTCATTGCAAACACCCCACAGCTCATCATATCTTTCCTTGATTACTTTTACAATGCCCATTTCACAGCCATGCTCCTGGGCTACGAGTGGATATCCTACGCATTCAAACGGAAAGGTCTTCGAGTATCACGATCTCCACTAGGCAAGCAGCGGTCAACCTACTTTTTACAGCTGCCGTACAGATTCAGTGTACCGCTGATGTTCATGAGCGGTACACTGCACTGGCTAGTCTCACAGAGTATTTTTCTGATCTCAATCGACCTTTACGACTACATGGACAACCGCAGCGCAGCAGGACAACAGTGGCTCAGGGACCAGGCGTTTGACCCCAGAGACGAGTCGATGAGCATCACGACTTGTGGATATTCACCCCTTGCGATCGTATGTGTCATCGTCTTCGGTTCGCTCATGTTCATCGCACTGTTGACAGCTGGCTTTATACCGTACAGGCGTGGTATGCCACTTGCAAGCAGTTGCAGCATGGCCATTAGTGCGGCATGTCATCCAGAGAGCGAGAACCGAGTCTCAACGCAGGAGGTACAATGGGGAGTCTTAGAAGCTAGCGACAACCAGGCCAACGTTCGGCATTGTTCCTTCTCTGAAGGTTCAGTCAGTCAACCTGTTGTTGGACATCTTTACATCTGAAATATGCTGTATACGCTCAGAACTACATCCTAGAACTAGGTTTATTGAAAATAAATCATGACCTGCAGAGGCGAAGCGCTGGCGAGCCGCCTACTTTTGCTAGGACTATGCCAACGCTACGGGGTAGCTGTTAGACGTTAGATTGTTATTATTTAGCACGGGTTAAGGCCAACAATAGCGAAGATGGTTCAATAGTCTGTATTCACCGTAGACGAACAGCTACTAAGTTAAGGTAGGGTTCGTTAAGCTTCTATCTACAGTGCCAAGTCAGATATGACTAAAGGGAGCCTGTCTTGGGCTGATAGCCACCCAGAAGGCCCAGAGGGGGTCAGAGGAGGCTAGGTTCTGACAACAATATATACTAGAATTAATAATTTACACGCGTGGTGGAAGCAAGCTGAGTATCTATAAGTAATAGTAGTGTCTTCGCATACCGTGCGTCTCAGCTTACTTAGATTAACATTAACTAACTAGTTAACTAAGTTAATAGAATAGTCATCAAGGGCGATTAAACCAATGCTATCACATGGTTTAAGCTTTTCTAAATTCATCAGCCACAATTCATTGAAGCCACGGGCTGGGTGTGACTAATGGAGTCTTAAAAATTACGTCCGATGGTAACGTATAGCGGCACACACTGTATTGAGCTAGCCACATACGGAAGACTTAGATTTCGCGGCACAGTGGGGTTTGTGTGACGAAGGGATGGACGTTAGAAGTGTACGCATGGTATGTATTGTACATATGCACTAGGGATAACTGGGAATAGGTTTTACTGCATGACTTCGTCACTTGGGTAATTGTATACTTGCTTTTTTTCCAAACAGGGAAGTCGGTCGTGTGGCTATTTTTCATTTTGCACCTTCAAGGGTTAACTACCTAGGTACTACTAGTCTTAATTCCCCCCAATTACTTATAAAAAAAAGTGAGTAGTACAACATCAATAAAGTATATAATGACTACAAGGGGAAACAGTCATCTACACTTCCCCAAAAAGGAGCCTTGGCGCAATGGTAGCGCGTTGGTTTTCGGCTTTGACTGTCTCTGATCACCAAAGGTTGTGGGTTCGGTACGTGGCTTTCCTAACGGGAATCGCTTCTTTCGATCCATGTTACTAACGTAATTTGACGTAGATCCCCATGGGCTTCGCTGTCTTCTTTCTCTTTTGCTTTTTTGTTGGTCTCTCCCTCTCTCTTTTTTGCCATGGACTGTTTGAGTGTGCCTTGATGCTTCATAATCTTCATGCCTTTTGCGTTTGGCAATTGCCTTTCTGTGGGTGCTTATGTTTTGCGGGTAAGCTTGGCTGGAGGCCCCTTTCTTTTATTTCTCGCCCTCGCAAAAATGCTGAGTGAGAGGGCTGGCCCTTTGAGTTTCGGCCATGTGAGACGCAGGGGACAGCATTGTCTGCGGCGCGCTCGGATGCCTTGGGGTGCTGGTGAGGTTGCGAATTTAGTCGCCGTTCTAAAAGGCAAAACTACTAGTTACGACCGGTGATATATACTATGGAGACGGCTGATCTACAATTGACGAAAAAAAGAAAAGGAATAAAACAGCACAGCTAAGATGCGCAAAGGCCCACTTTGGCTCTCCGATCTCCCGCGTTTCAGATACATGGATGTCATGGCAGCAGCCGGGCACATGCCTTGCCAATACGTAAGTAAACGCTCAGGATGCCAAAGTAAGCGGATGCAAAGAGGGCCTGAGAATCCTGCTCGCTTCATTCTGCGGCAGGCACTTTGTGATACACACACACACATGGTGCTTGTAGATCATAGGCAACCCATGATCCAAAATCTGAAACAGCTGCACCAGATCGATGGGCATTGGCCTTGGCCGCAGCTCAGCGATTGATCTGTGTCTGCTTTTCAACAACGCGGGGAATGACGCAAAGTTGGCTGGCGTGTCAAAAGTTGGGGTCGCAAGAAAAAGAAAAGAAAAGAGACCTTGGGTGCAGGCCAGCAGCAACCCGGCTCAAGCGCATTGGTACAAAATGCTCTCGGGCCGAAATCATTCACCTAAGCCGAGGCAGTATGTAGATAAATAGGCAGTTTGAAGACTTGCTGTTGGCATAACACAATGGAAAAACAACCAAATTTCCACCAGGGAATGCAGTCTAGAACGTTGGATTTTTTTTAATGCTTGCTCATAAGTCTGACCCCAAATTGCCAAGCGATTTATAGTCGGGGTCGCATGGGATGCTGAGGGCAGTCAGGCCATATGGTAAGTGTCAAAGACAAGCTTCAGTCAGCCAATCACCAGCGAAGCGTGGACCAGAGAGCTCGACTGGATTTATCTAAGCCAGGTCATGTTGCTCTTGGGCGAGTCGTGAAACAGGTCGAGGTATATAGTTTGGATTGCGTGTTGTCGAGATCAGCAGTATTAGGTGTGGGTGCACGCCCGTTATTCTGCAAGATGATCGAACAGCAGTTCGACAGTGTCATTTTAGCTATGGGTCGCAGGAGGCTTTCTTTCCAAGATCCCGCAGACGACGGCAGGACGGGAATCGGTGATCGGTAGGCTACACGTATGTACATGTGTGTACATTCAGCTAGTCATGTGCGTTCCTATTGGCCGGGTAGTTGTAATCAGAGAGCATGAGGGTAGGCGTACAGCGGCATCGGCATGAGCAGCATCAGTATGCGGAGCTGGGCGGCGCAGACAGCAAGTGGGCCAGTGTGGAGTACCAGACGGGTAGAATGTGTATGAGACATGATTGGTGGATAAGAGTTGATTTGTGACTAAAATGGTTGAGGAAGCGTCAGAGGGTGCATGATGGCATGGCAGCTGGAAAAGGCGTATTTTGAGCCGGGACGGGAACTACCATGTTTGGTTGGCTGGGCCTATCGGAAGAGGTGGGATGAGAACAGGTGGATGAGTATCTGTCCATCAGCACCGGCCAGAATGGCGGCTTGGTGGACAGCCGGCGTTGCTCGGACATGTGTATAGGGAATTAGTGGTTTGCTTACGGCCGTGCATCATGAGTTGTTACGCTCATCGCGTCCGCGCCTGAGGCCTGGGGCGGTGGTATAACAACGCAGTTGGATCAACGGCGTGCTGCAGTCGCCGCGGCAAGAGTGTAGATGCAGTAGTAGCGGCATTAGTGTTGGGCGCTCTGCAGGGCCGGCTTCGTCGATACAATTACGTCGCGTGTCCCGCCAGCCTGGACGGCTAGCCATGCGATGAATCGATTGAAGCGTGCCGGCGAGACTAGCGGACGTGGCTGGCGGCGTGAGACTCGGTTCGCATAGTTGTTCAGGAGCAGGATGTGGTTAGTGTGGTAGGCATGTATGGTTGTCGCGAGTATACGTAGTACGTATGTGTGTACATATACTCTACCAATGAGTGAGTGTAGGCATTGTCGCGGGCATAAGTACAGAAACGACGGCGGTGATTGGCCTGGATGCTGAAAATAGAAATGGCAGCTTGAAGACGATCGCGTCATGCTAGGTGCTGTGGGTGGTGGGGCGCGCCAAAGACTATGGTGCAACATCGACAACAGTCTGCCTCTGCCTCCGCCTCTCTGGCTGCGGTTGCGGTACGGGACTCTACTCTGGGGTACGGCAAGAGGCCATGCGGGCAGATGAGGGGGATTGCCAGTCAGCAAGCAAGCAACAAGCACCGTCGGTTTCGCACTGATTGCGCACTCATATCGCAGGAAATGATGGCATGCGCGGCATATGCAAATCAAACACGTCTCATCTCACCGGCTTCCCCACACGCCTTGGCGGGCATCTGCATGCTGTGTGTCGCGGCGTAGGCATTGGTTTGCGGGCAGCGCACCTGCAGGAGGAGGAAGAGTACTAGGCGTGGTGTCTAAGTACACAGTCGAGTACTGTAGCGTCTAAGTATGTATAGAGGACATGCTGGGTCGTGTGTGGGCCGATGTTGTGCCGCGGACCCTGTAGGGACATGCCCAACACGGCCTGTCGTGAGCCCGCAAAAGGCCATCGCCTCTGCTGGAGCGGGGTACAGGCGAGTCGGTGAGCCATGCACATCTGCATCCATACCCATACCCATACCCATACCCATGCCCATGCCCATGGCGACAACGGCCTCTTATCGCACTCACTGCACCAGCGACTCGAAGAATTCCACCGCCATTCGTTGTTCATCCCGTCCTGTCCTGTCGTGCCCTGCAATGCAAACCCTCAGCCGCAGATGCCTTGCTGTGGGTCGCGCCGGCCGAGCTGTGCGGATTGAGGATTGGCCCTGTCGTTCCCCTCTCAGATGGCGATTCCCACTCTGTTTACCAGATCGCGTCGTATGCGGCATGGCCTCAACGCGTCCAACTACACGCCTATTCGCTCACATGCGACGGGCAATGCCACACCCCACCCGCACCCACACACACCCTCTTTGTTTGGGACGGCACAAATTCCAACCCGTCCTCGCACGCTTCGTCTCTTAAGGCATGATGTGTCCCGCAGACCCTGGAACATGGGCTCGAAAGCGTTTACCGCGCCATCGCTCCCATCCTCTTTTGTGCTGCCTCTCGGTGCTTCGGCATATCGACTGCAGCGGTGGCGTTGAGACATGGACTTCTGCAGTGTGCCGTTGCCATGCAGCAACAAGCTTCCGAAGCGCCAGGGTGCAAAAAAAAAAAAAGGTCGGAGAGGGAGCAGTCGTAGTCGCAGTCGCAGTACTAGCAGTAGCGACAGCAGCACCAGCACCAGCGGTGGACTTGGAGGCGTCACCAGTCGCTCCGTTTGTTTTGCTGCATCGGCAGCGCCCGAGCACCGTGGGCCGGGGGGCAAGGACTAGGGTTAGGAGTGAAGCTGGCGAAGGTGCCGGAAACTCTATGCTTCTTTTTTCCAACGTCTCCGAAGCGGATCAAGCACAACGGGCGATCGGCTCGATTGCAGGATAAATGCCATGCGCGCCTATGTAAACAATAGTGAAGAGGCTACGTAAGCAGGCGGCTGTGGCCTCAGGCAGGACAAGCCAGTCCAGCCCAGGCCTCGACCCCGAGCGCGACCGCAAAGAGGGCAAGAATGCAAAAGCCATTTTGCTTGCATTGAATCCTGAGCTCCGTGCGAGAGTGTGTGCACAGAAACCCCGTGACCTGGCCGTGACCGTGGCACCGTGAAGAGCAGAGGCAACGTGCCCCGTTGTCTTCTGGCGTGAGAAGCTAATTGAGAGTCTCCTAGCAGCGCGCCCGTGCGTGCTCCCCAACTAGTGCGGCCCCTTTGCCTGACAACCTCAACTCTTCACCGCGACCGCCAACCCTACATTCCCTCTATTATTTTCCTTTTCTGCTTGCTTCTTGAATCGCTCGTCGTTTCCAGCAGCAGACGGCCCACTCTCGTATACCGACCAATGCAGGCTTGAGGGACTGCTCGGGAGGCTTGGTACACGCTGCCATCTCCGTCGATTCACGACAGCCTTCCAAGCGCTCGACGACCTTCTCTTTCTATTTACTGTTTTAATACCTTTGCGCTGCTTTCCTTTCACTCCCAGGTACACAGTCCCCTCGAAGCCCGTCACTACTGTCGACCCACAGCCTGATGGCTGCATCACCAATGCCCTCATCCCTTGAACCCGCTACTTTCCCGCTCCTGCTCGCCCGGCCTCTGTTCCGCGATTCTGTTCTCAGTCCACATCGCTCCACCACCTACCACTCACCGCCCGTTCGCATCCATCGAACTATCATGCTAACGTTGTGATGCTTGACAGGTTTTCACTTGCTCATTTCGGTCGCTGCCGCTACTGCTACTATCGCAGTCGACGAGCCTATAGCTGATCCCCATCGAGCTCCTGACAGCCGTATCCCCCACAGGCCACCGATGGCTCAGGTACTCACGTCAGTCATCCAGACGACAGGACCTCATACAATGCCATACTCGTCGTCCGATGCCTACAAAAACACGCCCACCCACTCCGCCCAGCAACAGCCGCGCCCGTCGCAGATGCCACGCAAGGAACACAGCGCGAATTCTGCACCTACAGGATACAGAACAGCCGCCGCACCCATAGCTCCGTATGCTTTTAGCAGCACGCCGCAACTGCGCCAGGAGAACAGGTCCGTCTCGGCACCTTCCCCTCAAGGCCTGCAGCAACTCCCGGCTCCCGCCAGCCAGGCCCGTCTGGGTCATCCCTCCCACCCATCTTCTTCATCCGACTCCACTGTATCCACATCTGGGTCTTCCAATCGTTCCTCGGCCGGAACGGCTGTAGCCGCCAAAGACGACAGCGATGCCAAGAAGCCTATCGACAGCATTGCGCCATCACTCACTCTCTCCTCCACCAATCTTGATCTTTCGTTTTCTATTGGCGAATCGCCAGTGAAGCCGTCGCCAGGGCGGTATCGACGTGGCGCCGGAAGGTCAGATTCGTCAAATAGCGTACCCACTGGCTCCACTACCCCAACACAGCGCTCTGCACCAGAGGGAAGCTCTCAGGCGGCACCTTCGCAATCAACGCCAAACGGCACCTCTGATGCAGCCAGCTCGCCACAGCCATCGAAACCCGCACACAACCGAGCCAACAGCGCTGATGATACTGTTCGCACAGGCGGTACGGACCAGGCTAAACGATACAGAAGGCGCAGTTTCAACGGACTAGAAGGGGAGAATATCACCCCGAGCAAAGCATCATCGCAGACCAGCCCATCCACAGGTCAACCCCCAGTGTTGAACCAAAACGTTACTAGACCATCCAGTTCTGGCCGCGCCGGAAGTCGTCCTGCCTCAAGCCAGAGTCATGAACGACAGGGCAGCGCAGGTAGTGCGTCGTCCAACAATTCGTCAAGATCACAGGTGAGTCTAGCCAACACACCACACACGATTATGCTAATATAAATTACAGTCTCGGCCTGCTGCGAATGCACAACGTAGCTACGCCTCCGTAGCAGGAGGCAACTCCGGCAAAGCAACTGAGCCGAACAGACGTCAAGCTCCCTCCCCTCTTTCACATCCCATCTCTCCGTCGGAGTCTCCGGGCCAAGCCAAGCCAGAGGCGACGTCCAGTGCCGCGATGCAGCAGCTCAATGCTGTCAACGACAAGGAGAAGGGTATGAAGTCTCGTCTGCGTAGGGCATTCTCCTTTGGCAGTGCCGCTGAACTCCGACGTGCTTCTGCTGAGAATAGCATCTCGGTCGAACGCGCAAGGTTGAGGAAGGGCCAGTATCAGAATGACGAAGACGCTGAGCAAGCAGCCATTATCGCAAAGCAAGAGGCTGCAGGTATTGGGGCTGGCATTTACTCTGGCCAGGGTGGCATCGGCTCCACGGACAACCTGTCTATACAGTCTGCTGCATCTTCTGCGTCGGTTATGCTTCGCAAAATGGGCCATGGAATGAAAAAGGGTACCAAATCGATCAAGGGTCTCTTCCGACCCAAATCAGTTATTGGTGTTCCTGCTGCTGATGGCCCCATCAGGCCTAGTGTTGGTCAAGTGTCTCTCGTCACTGTTGAGGCTGAGAGACACAAGGTTAACGTCAACGCCCACCCGCAGACACAGACTCGGGGAGGCACTGGCTACCCACGACTTGAACGCAACTCGATCGATGCTGGACAGACCGCAGAGATTGTTGACCCTTCGGTCTCAGGTAGTGATTCTATTTCGAGGAAGAGCATTGTTGGGTCTGATCGCGATCGTGCCGAGGTTCTTTCTTCCATGAAAAAGGGTATTTTGAAACGTAGGTACTCTTACGTCTTTTGCACACGCAACTGCTAATGATGAATCAGGCACTGGTACCAGTTCCGGGTCGAATTCTCCAGTAATAAGACCTGAAGACAGTGTTCCTAACGTGGGTTCGTCGAGGTCCAGTTCTCCTGCCACTCCAAGAACAGAAGTTGGACAATCCCGCACCGACGACTACTTTGCGAAGCCACCTCGTATTCACAACGGTAGCACCAGAAGTCTTCCAACCACACCTCATGGTGGTATGCGCAATATCAGCTTCAGCCCCCGCATTCAGTTTCACGACGCCTGGTCACCGCAGGACTACGACCGCAGAGGTGACATTGCCACGTGTAATAGGCTTACGCCGATGCTTGCGCAACAAATAAAGGAAGAACTTAACACCTTCAAAATGGTACGCACTGTCTCTACGATGCTCTCAGAAAAATTTGCTAACCCTCCCTACAGGAGATGGAAGTTCACGAGCTCTCGAAACCTCACACCCATTTCTTTTAATGATTATGCATCCACCATTTGGACATGGCGTCTTGGCGAATTCCTCTCATCGTTGCACTTGTGGGTTTGAGCCACCAGCATTCACCACTTGTCAGCCCTGTTCCCTGTTCTGGTTACCTCGGACTTGTTCTTCCATCTTAGCGAGCATTTGCAATCACGTAGAGGGAGACCGCCCTGCTTGCATGGGGGAGGTTTCTGCAAGCCTGTTGGCAAGGGAAAAAAAATCACAAAAGATGGGAGGAGAAAGTTTTAACTGGAATTACCTTCCCTTGCCTTCATCTCTTTCTGTGGGTCTCAGTCGTATGTTGACGTCCTTTTTCTTTTACCGTCAAGCTTGTCATTCTCTTATTAGTCTCCTTGTCTCAGTTACAATCATTGTTGGGTAGTCTCTGCGCTGCATATATCGTGGAGAAAACTGTGTAAGGAGAGGTAGGAAGTACTTGGGGGCGCAAGGGTCCTTGGTAGTTGGCTTATGCCGAATAGCTGTATAATTGCAGTAATTGGAAGGCGACACTCCATGTTCCTCTGCTCTGTGTTTACTGTATAGAGAGTCTTTTGTTGGGATAATTGCATGGGCTGGCAGCGGTCTCGCTCCAATATTGATCATTCATTCGCCACATCTTGAGATTGGAGCACTAACGGATGCTCCGTCTTCTCGACCACGTCCCTAGACACTTGAGAGCTCGTAAACTCATTCGACATCTGTCGCAGCGCATTAACGGTCAGACCTGTACGCGTCCAAGTCACGGCAATTAGCCGTCAAGGTCAATCTCCGATACCTTGCACAAGCCTGGGCAGTTTACACACATACCTGGCACTCACTTCATCTGCCAACAACACTCTGATAACCCCACACCTGTCAATACCGCCCCGCAAAAAATACTTTTGATCACGCGAACCACACCTTCCCGTTCAAGAACGTCAATACAACCACACGTGGGGGTGAGTGCAACGGCAGGCGATATAGGCGCTAGTCTTTTGATTTACCGAAAGCATCGCATGTGGCAGCATGTCCGCAACCTTAAAACAGTCGCCTGATCACTGCTTTTGGAATACGACAATGTGGTGCTCGACAGCCGTGCCAAGGGATTCAAGGGGGAGAAAGGAGTGAAGCCAGGAACGGATAGCGCAAGTGTTGCTAAATATATGTTTGTAGCAAGTGCAAGTGACGACATAGAACGCACGTGCTGGCTGCATCCTTGGTTGTGGAAACTGATACAAGGGATATTATCAAATCTATGCATGGATAGTAAGCTGGTGCAAGACCGCTGCAAATGGTGCCGACCAAGGAAGATGAATGGGCAGGCGGATCATATCACGTGACCACATCGCTCGCTTGACCGCTGACTTAGCGCGCCAAGATCGCGCACCGGATACGAAATTGGTGTCGGCTCAGCTTGTCGGTCTCTCCTCAGCAACCACACACATCCGACAAAATGGTATGTCCTGTCGCCGA